TGTTTGTAATTTACGCATTCACAGGGTAAATTGCAGTCTATGCTTCGCCATAATCATCAAATGAAATCGTCAAGTAATGTTATTAATGTATAATTAATGTTTTTACGATACTGCGATCAGACTATGGCGTATCCATTGTACAAAATTATTGTGCAACTCTAGATGCAATAGCAAAGGCTTTATGCGGCAAAATTGGAATTATACGTTAAAATTATATTTACTGTTCGATAAAACATTGCATATTCCAATTTTGTCAGTTACAAATTTACCGCGGATGTACTGTATAGACAGACAACTTTTGTAGATGGACAATATTGATGTCAGATTATTCAGAAATTGTCTTACTTGTACTGTCTAGTGTAATGCGTATATACAGTATATACTGGTATAGATGTATATGACTGTTCCATATCATTTGCAATTATTTTATATGAGTACAACCAACTATTCTATGTCATATAGCGCCTAACTTCCATTACGGTACTATTATACTCTCTAAACACATTACTACTGTAATTAGCTGCAATTATTATAATAATATTAATATCAGGTAATTCAAAATTTTAGCCTTATTTTTCGCTGTTTCGACTGTAAGTTAAGTCAACTTTGCTTAGCTTACTTTACTTTGTCAAATCATTGGTTTGCTAAACTTGACCTAGCATATACGACTTTTATCGATAGATAATATTGACCTTAGATCATTTTAAAAAAAATTCCTTTCTTATATACAACGACTATTCTCGTATAGTTGCGTATATATGACTGTAGTGCGCGTAGATAGACATTATTGACGTCAGATGATTAATTAGAAGAATTATTTGACGTATACTCGTATACAAACTGTTGTCGAAGGACAATGCTGACGTTAAATTATTTAAAATTCTCCTTGAAAGAGTGAATATACTACCTCTAGTATGTTTGCTTTTCAATTAAGATATTTCAAGTGGTGTAGGGTCAAATTTTTGATAGAGTAACCGCTAAAAATTGTATTTTCTTCAAGAATCACTTGCGCTAGTCCGTTTATATGCACTGATGTGTAATAAAAAAATAAAAAACTTGACCATATTTCAAGCGGTGCCCATACCCGTGGGATGCCTATTGAAATCAATCAGCATACCTGATAGACTGTATCGAATCTATAGATAGGTTCTTGCTTGATGATACCTTTTACATAATGCGTCATTTTTAAATGATAGCATTTCTTTATTGTACCTTCGTCTATTTTATAATGACGATAGCAGGACTCAATTAATTTGTTTTATTTGCTCGAGCACATCCATGCAATTTTTGAAAATATTGAAATATCGCCATCAGATCTTGTCACTTTGACTCGATTTCGTAGAGAACGTAGACATGTCGGGGCGAATTTACGCCATCGGTAATTTTCTAGAATAGTCTCTGATTTTATATAGTCATCGTTCCATCGGCGACTATATAAAATCAGAGGCTGTTCTAGAAAATTACCGATGACGAAAATTTGCCCCAACAGACATATTGAGAGCGCCTACCGTGACTGTATGTAGCGAATGGTGATGAGCTTATAGATACTGTCCATTGATATACAGTACCATTACTGCGTGTCCACGCTAAGGATGTCTAGACCGAAATTTGTCTCCATGCACCATTCCTTCTTATAATATCCTTTTCCCCCCTACCGAAAAAAACCTTGCGGAGATTTTATTTCAAAGACGAAAAACTTTAGTTGCAAGCAGTCAAGGAATATTTTTAGTTGAGTAGTTCCTGTCATGATAGAAATAATTATCAAGTCTGACTGCCTTAGGCTTACGCCATTTCCCCCCCCCCCAAACTTGGAGATTTTATTTTAAAAACGAAAAACTTTAGTTGCAAGCAGTCAAGGAATAATTTTAGTTGAGTAGTTCCTGTCATGATTAAAATAATTATCAAGCCTGATTGCCTTAGGCTTACGCCATTTTTGAATGACTGAGTCACGTACTATTTTTAAGCATATGACTTGACTTGCAGTGTGTGTTGACTATGGCTGTGGCTGGAGCATGCTCTGTACCCCCAAGATATGAGTAACCATGGGCTGGCTAGCAAATAGAACAAGTTCAACCCCACCCAAAACACCTGTACAATAAGTCAATGGCTCAATCACCAACTAGCACTGGTATACCATATCCACTTCTAGTTTGATTTGAATCATCCATTACTTGCACTAGTACTAAGTCAATGTTATAATCTAGAGGTTAGCGTTCTTAAAGTGTCTGGCAGTACACTACAGTACATGGTGCGCCATAACTGCAACTGCTGTAGGGGTGGCTTGGACTTTCGTCTTCCTCGATATCGTACCGTACCGTACCGTACCGTACTGCGCCCGGCTCGGAGACCGTTATCACCGTTATCTTACCGTTAATACCGCATTAATATTCGCTCGTTTGTTGAGAAGAAGATTTTAAACAGTTTGCCTGAATAAGCCAAACTATCCATCGAAATTAATAGTGCTGATCATCTTGGCCAGAATTACTGACTGGTGTTATAACTACTGTGTCGATTGGACATCGAGAAAGAGAGAGAGAGACAGAGGGAAACGATAGTCAATATTATTAGAAGCTCTATCTTCATTAATGCATGATTACCGAGTTCATCAAGTGAGCACATCAATTGACGGCTGTTGATTCTCTATTTATTTTGATTGCCCTCCATTACATATCCGTTCAACGCAGCGATATACATCGTGTGAGAAGATTTCACTATTCCAGGAATTGATCAAGGTTCTTGTTCAATCATTGCCTATTACTTGGAGAGAAAGAGAAAGAGTTCAAGTTGGACATCGATCGATTGGTAAGTACAGAATAGGCAATGCATTTCATAAGATTGATTACTACAATGGCATTTCAACTTGATTGAAAAGCAAGATTGTCGATATGAATCGATAATAGGTATCGACAGGTACAATTACAACAATTTCAATTTATCCAATAGGATAATATCCATCGTTAGAAATAGTTATCAAACATCGATAATGAATGAACGTTTCTACTTTGATAGAGAGTATTCTTCTACCGCAATGTGAGATTAAATCTACTGTATACAATATCTTTCATTGAATAGAGTAGTTATCCTAACGTAATTGCTGTAGGAAAAAGTAATACCATTTTTGAAGTGGAGATTAAACAATGATAGTAATATTCTTGGTAATGATCGGCATACGCGATAGAGTTAACATGACTTACAATGACTATATTGTAGTTGGGATCAAGTCACAGTGGAATTGATCAAATGACTATCTGATTGTGTTCTACTCTATACTTGCAATGGATTCCAATAATGATGTGATCTAGAGTTTCACGCTAATTTTGTTGTCTATCTCACACCCTATTGCCTCTAATGGATAAGATGGATCAATAATACTACAGCGAGGGGTACATACTACGATCGTGTAATTTAAAGTAAAGTACAGCAAGCATTTCATAGTTCGATAATAGCCCATCGTATAGGATAATATAAAATTGGCTGCAACAATGTAGGATGTAGCTGACGAAGATTTAAATCTTTCCATCGATATGCTTTCATGCGTATACGCGTAGATAGGCAGCTAAAAGCCATATCACGGTTATCATGAAAAATTAGCCGGATAGACTTCCGGTAAATCTACCGATATTTCTTTTAAGTTTTTGTTTTTAAATTTCAGTACGAATCAAACTTGATGATAAACACATTCTCTCTATCGACTAAATTTGAATATCAATATGTACATCAGATAAATTCTTATATTTGAGATACTCAATTTCTAATCACTTTCTACTACGAAATAATGTGAATAGGTTAATTAATCTACGAAGCCATCTATTAATATTCGCGATATATTCGTATAACAGTGTTACAGTAACTTTTTTGTAAACCCTAGCAATAGTAACTATCGACAATTTGTGCTCTACTTTTTACTAGACATGACAAAAGTATGTTTAATCACCTTTTGTTGCTGTTTTTCGTTTCCCAAAACTTTTATCCTCCCGAAAATATCTGAAATTTATGAGAAAAACTAGTGATCGACGCTATTGCCGTTAAATCAAATTGCTTACTCACTATGATGTTCCGTATATACAAAATTGACAGCAGTGGCTAAGATGAGACAAGGTAAAGCCATTGGGTATTATCGATTCCAATTTACAAGAGCTTTTAGAAGCTATAAAGATTTCTATTACCACACTTTTATCGCATATTATAGGCATTTCCTTAGTAATTATATAATCTAGTAAGGTTGTACAAAGATGTACGACAGCAATATCATCCTAGAATGAAGAAAATATAGTAAACACGTACGAACGAAAAATTAATTATTACCGACCTTTTCACAATCTCATGTACTTACAACCCCTGTTAAAAACCTTTCCATAAATAGTAGGAGCACATAAAATATATACAGCCGAAATAAAAAAGTAAAAGCTAGAAATAGGTTTAAGCTATGTATGAAAAGACTTCAGCTTACACTTTGATCTGACTGCAATTTCTATTAAAAAGTTAAATAATCTATATTAGATGCAAATTACTAGCAGTGTAGACACGGACTATCTTATTTGCCACAATTTAGAAATGTGCTCATAGCGTATCTAACTGATGTTAATATTTAATACTTGAACAAGGGTATAATTTTTCTGCTTGTATTATGCGTATTCTTAGCTGCACCATGATAGCCAAAAAGGTAAAAGTGGACCGCCATGGTCGTTAGTAAAGTTCGTGCTAGTATTGCTCAAAATCAAGCATAACATAATAACATTAATTATCAGGCACTCTTAATTATCCAACAATTGATCAGCAATTTTTACCCAGAGATAATTCAATACAAGTTTGACTCATGTTTACGCGTATATGTATCTATAAACTCAAAGATTTTTCTACGAGAATAATAAATTAAATCTACTAGCCATAGGCATAAGGAATCTCAAATTGAAATTGTCCACTTTTTCTCATAGTTATAGTTGATTGTATCAAATTCAAATTATTGGATTAAAAGAAGCAACTGTTACCTGTTATTTATCATGGCAAGTAAGCAGGAAAGAAAAATTGATCAATTTCCTAAGGTATGCCAGTCCTACTATTCATCCTATTTTATAATAGAGTATATACCATTAGCGCTGACTACTGAGAAAATTGCAAAGATTATGGCTACGATCAACGCTTACTGTTCCGTTTAATTGTCAACTACAGTACTTTAATTAATGCTAGCAATAGTTAAGATCGGTAACAATATCGAGTCTTTTATATTATTATGCAATAATTTTGTACTGTAACATTAATGATATCCAATTAGCTCTAATGATACTGTACCGATTTATAATAAATTATAGACTATTTCCCTGTATTCTGGTACAATATTGTCATGCTAATAGTACTAATCATTAATTTTGTTAGTAAGTTTACCGGTTATGATAAGCTTGGCTATATTTGTAATTAGCTTATGATGCAACAGTTATAATCTAAAAGATGTTTTGCAGACTAGTTTTGAATTTTTTGTAGTCGCGCATCGGGCTCGAAAAATTATAGTTGAACCCGACAAAATATACAGTATGAATAAAGTAAGATGACTTAATCGTCCTAGCATTATAATGTCACCTTTTACTAATGTTACTACAGTAGAATCATATACAATCTGAAAACAATGACTAAGCAAATAGTAATTTCAATGTTTACCGCTGTTAAATTACTATCGATTTACAGCACTTCTGTCGTTATTTGCTATTTACTGTTCCTTTTACGATTGTAATATTATAATTTACAAAATGTGGTAAAATTATTGAATAGTATGTCTAACAGAATTGGACTAATACCGAAGCAACTAATTATTATTGTATTACAGGCTTTTATGCCAAAGCAATCTGGAAAGAATGATTTCGACCAACAACTATTAGATGAACTTCCAAATAGAATTGGCGACCAACCAAAGTATGAATGACACCATAGATGTAACTATTGATATCAACATATAAGACTGATTTCTATCTTACTTGAATAATTTTGTAAGAGTTATTAACACTATGCGAGATACAAGGTAAAATATAACTATACTTCACTATGCTTATCGCTTTAAAATTCATTGATAGGTATCTTGTAGACTGATTTATAATGTAACCGAAAGCTTTCAATATTATTTCTGACTATGTATAAATTACAAGAATAATCTATAGATGGCCTACACTACCACATTTATTTATTTTATCAAAAACGTGTTTATTTAATTTTACCAATGTTATTATTTATCTTATAGCTTAACTACGGCCAAAGTGATTGTTATTGGAGATGTTTCAGTTGGAAAAACGTCCATTATTAATAAGTAATTTCTTATTTTTAGATCTCTTGCATAAACTGCTAATCGAGTTATAATTGATGAATGTATTGTAAGTCTTGCTTACATTTTGAATATTATTAGATATTGTCGTCGAGTATTTGACAAAGATTACAAGGCGACAATTGGAGTAGATTTCGAAGTTGAGGATTTCGTTATTAAAGGATCAAATTTTCAATTGCAAATGTACGTGAATTTTAGTCGTTTCTTTTTTAAAGGCTTTATATCAATATAAATTCATAATCTACGACGCGATGATTAGGCTTATGTTATATGATTAATACTAGTCTTGTACTGGATTATAACATAAAACATAAAACTTAATAATAGTATATTGATATTTTAAGAGATATTCAACAATGGCATAATATCTTACAACGAAATAAAATGTTTCCGCTTATATTTAAGATGGGATACAGCAGGTCAAGAAAGATTCCAAAGTGTTGCCAGGGCTTATTTCCGAAGTAGTAATGGTAGGCAATATTTAATAGTTGATAGGATGTGTAAATATATTATTATCTATGGTACTTAGATTCAATTTATTTGAATAATAGCCCACTATACTTTTATACTTCACAAAAAATTCTGATTTTGGAGTATTGATTTGTTATAGCGGTCATTATTGCTTTCGAATTCCATGATGAAACTTCATTAGATCACGTCCGGTAAGTAAATTTCGACTGTCATTAAGAGAGATATGATAATGTTGTAGTTGTATATACAATGATATTTGTACGGTGATACTGCTAATAGCAATTTAATGGCATTGCACTTATACTCATTAGGGACTGGTATAATAGTGCAAAACGGGAAAATAGTGATGACGAATGTGATTTTTATATCATCGGAACAAAATGTGATTTATGTGTAAGCTAGCAAAATAATATAATATTAAAATCATCCACAGATCATATGCGTGCATTCATGTAGTGCTTCTATTGCAGAAGGAAGAGGAGTTAGCCGATTATGAGAAGGAAGCGGTTCAATTAGCTGAAAAATTGAACGCAGAATATTGGAGAACTTCCGCTAAGGCAGGTTAGTATAAATAAGCACAACATAATATTTTACTTTCCTTTTGAATGACGTTTCTTTGTTAAGTTAAATACCTCTTTATTATTTTTATCCTTGATGAACTAGGAATTAATGTAGACGAAATGTTTAATCGTGTAGCTGTACTAGCTTTTGAACGAATTGTTTTAAAGCAGACTGAAGTAAGAAAGACTATTAAGCTAGAAGATATCGGATCGGGAACTCTGAGCGGTAATTCTATTAAATAAACATCCATATCTAAGATTAATGCATCGTAAGACCGTCAAGCGGGCTCTGCTAATCAACTAGATTCAATTATTTAGTTCAGTTCGTTCTACTTATCATATTTTTACTTATAGCTGAAAGCAAAAAGACCTCTGGAGGCTGTTGTACTTGAAAGAAAAACTCTTCTTGTTTAAGAGAAATTCGACGATTGTTCTTTTATAAACAGTAAATATGATAATAATTGCTTAAGGAGCTAACAGATTATAAAAGTACAGTTTTTATCCGCGTAATTATGTTAAACAGACAGCTAAGGGAGCGTACATACTATTAGTTTAACAAAATACGTTACCAGTTATTACTTACTACATATATCATTAGCAAACAAATTGCTAAATTGTTAACTATCGTGTATAACTTGATAATTTATAAGGCGACAATACCTATAACAGATAATAGCTGGTTTGTAGTTACGTACTGCTCTGTAGGGCAAATAGTCAGTTCCACTTTAGCTATTATTTATGAACGGATTTTGAGAGGTTCAGATGTTTGTTGTTGGTACTAAAAATTCTTATTACTGATACTGTTACAAAATCAAATAACGATGCAGACATGCATTATTAGTGATTTTGAAATTGTTTCCAGTCTTTCCTGTAAGTTTGGCCGACGCAAGATCTTTCCAATAATTTCAATGTAATCTTCAAGTAAGAGACTATAATGTATCAATCGCAGTTGTTATTATTTTTGTTATTATTCTCTTATATCGAGTAGTGCAAATTTAAAAATTTTGCACAATAGATCAATAGATATCCTATACCATAGATGGTGATTTATGTTAGATGAAATACAATAAGCGATGTTTATCTTGCGATACCATCACAAATCTAGCGATTTTTTTCCCCTGTAAATTGTGTCAATTGGTTTGAGAACGCATGAATAAGTAAATTATGTAACATAATTATTATCATGGTCACTGTAATCATCAAAAATATTAACACAAAATCTAATAAATACTTCTAAGTTTATCTGCTAATCGGTATATGGCTTGATTTCAATTTGAATTAATTGCATAATGTAGTAGCCACAAGATTGCAATGGTATATGTTCTCTTATATACCCAGGTGCCGTAATAGTTCCCGGCAATTAACTAATTCTTCCGTTTTAGTATATTTTATATAAATCAGATATTGTCTTTTTAGGCATAAATCAGATATTGCATCTCTAAATATATTTAATTAAACTCTATATTCCATGGCCAAGGATAAATATCGATTCTTTTGTTGTGCATTATGTATACGAATTGAATCCACCATTTAAGGCTTAAGTTAGGCATTGCATTGTACTGATGCTTGAAATCGATATTCTGCCTCCTATTATAAATTAATGAATTAATTCATGAGCATTATTTACCTAAATAAGTATACCATCTGTGCTATAGTTTGCTATAGTACATTTTTCTCATTAATTGGTAGGAACAGATTTATTACTGTGCTAGGTAGGTTACAGGGATCGGTAGCAAAGTATTAAGAACTCAGTATACTGTATTAGGTAGTATATTAAGTGATAATCGTTTCTAGCCTTGTTTAAATCACGATAACCTACCAGTACATTCAATAAAATTAAGGAAATAGGTCTTTTATAGCAATATTTCATTTCAGTGTAACTTGTGGAAAAAAACATTGGCTGCGAATGGATACCTACGATCCACAGTAGATTAATATGTAGCAAAATATTCATTTTACGAAGTTGCGGAAATGTAATAATTTAAGTAAATTTATAACCTATATGCTCACATGATTCTAATAAAATTTATTCAGAAATATAAATTGCACACATTGAAAAGTAAACTATTGCAAATATTGTAAATTTTTGTTCTCATCACAAAATTTAATTCGAGCATGTTCACTCGATTTAATGGTCGTGGCTGAATAATTTTAATCATAAATTAGTCGACACGACTAGATGTCTTACTTTACAGCAGAAAGGCTGTCTGCGAAACTGATAATTAATTAAATGAAAAGTTATAAGATTAGCGAGAAAAATTTATACTTAATGACTATCATCGCGCGATGTATGCAATTTCATTTGCGAGGGCCGAGCTAGCTAAGTTTGCATCTTATGTTGATCTTTCAAATAGCACTATACGTCAGTTAGCTAATGATACTACGACAGCATCTAAAGGCGGGTAAAATTACTTTACGGGATAACGTATCAAATATAAATCTTCCCGAGTGTAGAAGTGATGATTAAGTAAATAGTAAAACAAATTTAGCGATGCCGGTACATCTGCCATCATAGAATTTTACTTTTATTAGCTAAACAATTCAATTATTAAGAAGGTATTTAACATTGACTGGATTGATCATTAAAATTATACAAAGCATTTTAAAAATCAATTAATTTAATCAAATCATCGGTATGCCATGCCATTTACCATTTTATGAACAGCACCATAATAAAAATAACAATACCATAATAACTGTTATGATCTAATTATTATATAATTAGCTCACTCATGTGTATTCACTCATATATTTTCTTTCTGCATACAACTAAGAAATATAATTTTTCATGGCTGACATATATCAAGATTTTATGTTCATTTATAAAGAATACAGTTTAGTACAATGTTTACAGTATGCAAAATATGCAGGTTATCAGCAACGTAAGCATTGTATAAATAGATTAATAAATAAGTATAATCATAATATACTATTACTAAGAATACGCCAGGTAAAGGAGATTAAAGTTTATAATTGCAATATGACGACGCCTATTACGGTAGCCAATTTCTATTTTATCAATATTCAACTAAAGTATATGATAATTGTAATAGAAAATGCAAACTTTTATCAATGGTAGAAATATTAAGGTCTTAAACAAACCTGAATGATTAGCATTCCATTCAGATCTGTTATGATTTCGATGATTATGATACAGGGGCATTGAGCTGAATCTTTAGAAATGTGAGAGGGCAGTATCATACAAGTGGGTCTCGAGTGCCATATAAACTACTTAACCATTGCCGAACTTGTACTAAATTGCATTATTTGATACAATAAGGTCTATTGTAACAGATTATAATACAAAGCAGTCGATTTCGAATAGGTGATTCAGTGTCTCTCGTCCGGATATACAGGATAAGTTTGTCTTCCTTCCATGTAACTGATTCTTCTATCCAAAGACATAATAACTATTAAATATTGTTAAAGACAATAACGAAGAACCTTCTGATTAATTATTTAAAAACCTATTCAATTTTATTAATTGTACTTCAATTTTTAGAATATATATATCCCTAAGGTTTATAACTATTAAGTAATGTAGTCATCTGAAGGATACAATTGCGAAGATTTTCTGCATCCTCTTCATCGGTTAATGGGTCTTCACGAAGATTGGTAATTAGCAGCTTAGCCGTATAATAGCGTTTTAATGCCTAAATGTATACAATAAACGCAAAATATAATAAGTACATTATACAAAACTAATTTTAAATATTTCCCACTTAAATATTAAGCAGGCGTACAATTACCTGAGAGACATTACCAAGTATTTCATCTGTTGCTGCAGTTTGACACTAAAGCATGGAAAAAAGTTATGCAAGTGAGTAAATCGACTAACACAGTTAAATGAAGCCGTAAAGCTACCCAGTTATAATCTTACTAGATTTAGAGCACGCTCATAGATAATTTCATTTGCCTGAATCTGAAATGTTCATTAAAATTATTGCTTAAAGAATATCGTCAGTACACAAGCTTGAATCAACAAGAAACGTTATTACCTTTGGGATATCGTTAACGGATGTACATTTTAAATTTTCATACAACTGAGATGCTTTTTTCCAACATCTTGTAAATTTTTCTAATAATTTGCCTAATACTATCAATCAATGACAGTGTAAGATATTAATAAAATAATATAGGGTACTAAATGAGCATATTATTAATACAGTTTCACATCAACTATCGTTATTACATATCATATACGAATTTGACGTCTGAACATCACGGTCTTGCTGCAGTTGAGTGCGTACCACCAAGAGAGATTCACCCGCGATTCTTAACGCTTTAAGGTACAATGCTAATTGCTCTGCATAACTAAGTTACAACATTGAGCAAATGGTTATTTACTTCTGAAGTATCAACTACTACAACTATAAATTCAATACCGATAGTGTCTGTTCGCATGTCCTATTTGATCCATAACTCCAATTTTAGACTTCTAAAGTACACATAAAATGCCTCAGTTAGCTGCTACAATTATCCATATCATCAGTTGTACAGCTTTACCTGCATTTGGTAAATAGAATCCGTTTGGACATCAAGAGGTGCACCACGTCTTCTAGCGGTATCTTGAAGAGAATTAACCAGTTCTAACCTGGATTTTAACCAATTTAACGATTCGGGTTCCAACTATAATCATTACACGTTTAATGCCAATTAAAATATTTTTTAAGTTTATACCTAATCAGCAATTTAATTATCAATTAAAGGCTAATCGTAATAAAAGGAGGTGAATTTCGCTAGCCTTACCTCAGAAGGGATATCTTGTGACAATGGCGGTGCTATAAATGATATAGGACTATCTAGATACGGAGGCGATGTACCTTATCGTATGAAGTAGTAATTCGAGCAAATTTTGATAGTGTTAATCGATAAATCGCAAATTATAAAATTATGTGACGAAAAAATTCTTACATACCAGTATCAATGTCTCTCCTCTCTCCACCATCTAGAATGTGATCTCTTAAACCATCCTTTAACCAGGAGATTCTTGGTGGGCTGGCAATAGGAGCAGTCAATGTTGGAAAAGAGCCAACTTTCGTATAACCTCGAGAATAAACATATTTGTTTGGTCTAAAAATTCCAATATTGTTATCTGTATTTTTGGCAAATAACGGCCTAGTTTTAGTTAGCGAGAACGATGAATCAATTGAGTCATGGCCATCTGAAGGGATATCAGGCTTATCAATCGTTGTATCAACGCCTTCCTCAATAAGAGGAACATCCGGCTTAAAAGGCCTACGAATATTTGGCGACGAAGATTTTGAAGCAATTGCTTGCATGAAATTGATATTGCTATTAGCATAATTAGGCGGCGTTTGCCCAGTAATTATTGCTTTGACTCCTGGAGGAGTTTCAGATGTTGCTTCTCCTCTAGTACGGGAAATATCGACGTCATCCTCAGCATCCTGGAACAAGTTAGGCGGCGATATCGAGGAAGAGCTGTGCTTAGCAGTATCTTTGCTAACGAATTCTGATCGATGCTTATCCATTGAACGTATTTCCACTGCTACATTTCCGAAATAAAAAACAAAGGCATTCCGGATGATTATGATTATAGTTGATTGTAATTAATGCAAAATATAACTAACGCTACCTTTCCCTTTGTCTGTAGGAACCAGGACAAACTCCTTGATAACAGATTATGAAATTCAATAATATAATTAAGATAATAGTAAGGTAAGTCTATAGATAACTGATAGAATATTCCTAGATCATAATTGGCATAGTGAAAAGAATCAGACGGCCTTACATCGCTTCCACAGGCAGATGATTTCTTAGACCAATCTCTGTATTCGTCAACTTTCCCTTCATCTATTACAAGATTATAATTTAACACCATGAATATATGACTATTAAAAAACCCGCGACAGTAGCTGTTGACACAAGTACGATATCACGGGTTAATAATCTAAGCATAATTTTGTTTACGAATCGAAAAAATTTATTTCTAAAAGACCTTGCATAGGAAATATATTTGCATCGTCTTCCCGAAATGCATCAACGATGGTAGGTTTGTCCCTTGTCAATCGCTCTATTTGTTTGTCTAATGCAGATGACTGTAAGTGAAAAAAAAGGATCTTTCGTAATGTTGAAGTTTTAATTGAATGAGAAATCGTAATAAAAATGAAAGCTTTAAAAACCTTAACACTGATTTTCTCTTCTATTTCTTCATCATTTGAGGAATAGCGACTAGCCGGCGGTATCGGTACTGGCACAGGAACAGCTAGTTATAATAGAAAAGTCTACGTTTAGTAATACGAACTTTCTAAAGTAGTCACTAAGATTATTAAGGCAGATAGTAATTACATGGCTTTCTTTGCTTCTTTTGTAAAAATCTGTGTTGAAAGAATTCGTCTAGCAAAAAATTTTGAACCTCATTTTAAGTAAGTTTGATATTGAAAGACACTACGAAATTCAATTGTGCAATTTGTCTAGCAACAAATATATAGCGATTTAAATCAATATGATCAATAGTACAGCTTCATTTACAAGTTACGGCTATATTTACCATAAGACATTCGCTCACGAGGATTCTTCTTCAATAATTTTAAAATCAAATCAGAAATTTCTTTAGATGCATAGTTTGGAATGCTAATGTTAAAAAAATAATTAATACTTATGTTAAGGAATCATAACATAGATTAATAGGTTAATGCTGCATATCCTAACAAAATAAAGTTCTTATAGCATTTGTAAGCTAATGTAGAATGCTAACTTTGGTATTAATTCGGTACTATTAACATAAAAATTTCTCAATTTCTGTGGATTCGATGCCTATAAGTTAAAATAGAAGTTGTTACTATCCTTGATAAGCATCTTATTTAAGAATGCTGTAAATTGTGTTATAATTGCAAAAAGTAAACTAGTCCTAACTGTAAATGGTGCTTTTCCAGTTAAACATTGATATACAATGGCACCAATACTCCATAAATCTGCTTTACTGTCATAGCTGCCATTATTAAAGACTTCCGGAGCCTGAAAATTTATCGAAACGATTCAAGATCATAATATGAAAATCATTTAAATTACATATTATTGACAGTACTGCAAACTACTGTATTACCATGTAGAGGGGAGAGCCACATATTGTTGCAGCCATCGTGTTCTCCGGTAAAATCCTTGCAAAGCCAAAGTCCGCTGTTAAAATAAAAAATATTTCAACATATCTAATTAGTCAGTAATATTTTATTAAAATTCATTTTATTTTAGATTTATTGTAATAATACCGGTACAAGCGTAGAATGCTACTTTATACAGTACTGTTATATATTCAAGTGGAAGTAGAATGTAGTGTTACAAGATATCTACCTATTTTAATTTTAATGTCAGATGGGGTAGGGTTTTTGACATTATAACACAGTAATAGGTTTTGTGGTTTCAAATCTCTATGAATGATGCCTTTCGAGTGGAGAATCCTCATGGCAGATGCTGTTATTCAATTTGAAAATTTACTTTTTAGCCAGTAATATATAATTTTAAGACATTTAAAATCAATGTGTCTTAGACAATCAGAAATATGACAATACTACAGCTAGTGTACAAGTATATTCGATATCTGTATTATTGATTGAATACAGACCTATTTGCTTAAGGAATGTTCTAATGGTTTCTTCACTGAGCGTCCCTTTATCTAGTTGTTTCACGAAGTAAATTAGTGTTCATGTATTAGTAAGAAAACCTACTCTAACGAAGAGCAGTAAAGATTAAAGTTGTGGTTACGTATGTATATAGGAAAGCATAGATTATTATCTCATACCTTGTAAGTAATCCGATAGATCTCCACCATTACAAAACTGTAAAAGATCGAATTATAGGATATAGAATGTGATGTATAAAGTCTATATATTCCGGCTAGTTAAAATGTAGTGTATGGAAGCATTACATTGCATTAATACTTATAATTACCTCCATTACTAAATTAATATCGGTAAATGTTTCCTGTAAAATAATACAAAAGCAATCAATACAATTGTATACCAATTCCTATATCATAGATACTACGATAAATATCAATATCGCTTGACTAAACATTATAAACTGCAGTCTAGTACGGAAAGAAATTCTTTTAAACGTTACATGATTTTTATTTAATTAAGAATAAGAACACTAACTCCTTACCACACAATCATAGAGGGCAACGATGTTGTCATGCTCTAATTGCTGATGCCATATAATTAATAAGAAAAAAATGAATAAGAGTATCATCAAGATGATATTGATTAAAAGCCATACAATGTTTCCTATAACTGTAAAAGCTATAAAATAGTTCATCAAAGGTTAAAAAAAGTTTGTATTGAAAATATTGACGATATCTAATATCCGGAAGGGACTACAAGCCTTGTTACAATGATTTTATCACCTACAAGTCCATTCATATAAAAAATCAGCTGCACTTGGCAACTGGGTATGTATTTTAACATATAGAAGGGAGATCAATTACTTGATGTGTTATTATTTTTATTTGTTGATGTCTCATACGTATAAAGCTATACAACTAAGTTACTGATTCTGATATTATTTCATAGCAAGCAATGATTATAATTTAATCCATTTTTTGCTACGACAAACATTACGTACGCATATTTAATCAATAAGTAGTAATATAGTAGATAGCGCAAATCACGCATGTTTTCGAACAGTACCTTTAATATAGCAATTTCTTTAGCTAGTAATTTTTTGTTCTTCATCAAGTTCTTTTTACCAATTCGTTTAATAGCGACTTTCAAGGAGTGATTCTGTTACGTCATATCCAAGATACAAAGAAGCAAGGATACAAGTTATTTTTCAATCAATACAAGTGTTATATACTCTCTTTTAAGCCTCAAGGGCATTTCAGTAATAGTTATTTGATTACTAATCAAGATAGATATAGCATTGCTGATATTGTCTATTTCGATGTTCACTATGATTAAGAAATGTACAGTAAATATATAGTAATCTGCTCTAAATGTTATAGTAGTCATTTGTTGATTTATGAGTGATTGGCCAGCTACTGTTCGTCCAATATCATGCCGTCACATTAAAGTGGTACTAAATATTGGTAATAAAATACTGTATAAACCGCTAACTAATAGGCAGATGATGTCAGTAAAAAAAGTATTTGTCAGGATTTTGTACAGTAGCGAGTACTAGATACAGACATTATTGCTAATTATGTTGACAATTCTATTTATTTTTGTGGTCAAGAAAGTATTTAGTCAAACCTTTATACAATAGCATGGACTAGATAATGATACTAAGAGTATTTATTACACCAATTTTATTTCTTTCTATTTCGCTAACATGAAACAACCTTGATCATAACATACAAGGTAGCGAGATAGCAATAGAAATTTTATTGTGTCGTATCCATCTTGTCAGTGGATTGTATATCATCGATGAGAAAGCACAGTACGTGTCTATGCGTATTGTAAGTCCATGGAACGTCTGATGATCGAGTCTATTAGTAATAGATATTTTCAAGTTTCCTAGTTCAACACCGGTACTGATTTTCAATAGAATTTTATACGCGTCATGGCAATGATAGCAGATTTGATAGCAACAATTATGGTATGATTATTGAGACGATTAGTAATAGAACGATGATAGAGTCATGTTTAAAAATTGGAATAAGGGAAATTAAAGAGAAAATACGTAGTACAATATACTTTTTCTTTGCAGCATCCTAACACGAGTTATTCAAGCAAGTTTAGGTAAAACTGGAATGGTAGACTCTACGTGGTGGAAGGAGCGACAGTTGGACAACTGATTGCATTTTATATTAACTGTTATCAACATACGAGCACATTGTATCAATTGACGTTGACGTTCAGTCGCTGTAAATACTCGTCGAACAAGAACAGTATTTCTAGAGAAAGGGTCCTGATTGTGCTAGAGTATTGTAGACAACATTTCTAATATTGCCTACCACTCGTATTACGAGTAACCATTACTGTACATGGACTACAAAGAATAAAGCACATTTCATTCACCAAGATGAGCAGCAGCAGATTGAACAACAATTAATAAAAACAACAACAGCCCTTCAAGTATTTACACGCAAGACCAAACATGTCCTACGCTTATCCTAGTAGAGTAAGTGAGTCAATTGGTACATACTGTACTGCTGCAATGAAAGCTGCTGTAGTCATGGACTTACTTTACGATGATAACCTTTGAAGACAACAGCAAATGCGCCATGACCCAGTAAATCAGTTTGACTATATTGGTAATCTCCAACGAGTTGTTCCATGATGTAATACTACCAAACTATTGTATGATAGCTAAGTACTAAAGTCTACTTGCTGTCCCTCCTTTCTGTACACTACAGTACAGTGAAAGAGGTGACAAAGAAGCCAATTCTCCTGCAAACAAGAAGGATATTCTACAGTAATGGGTGCTTTCACTGTGGTAAAAGTCTACTAGATTACTTTTCATTGCCAAGTAAAGATAATATCCAAGATCATCACTGTAATTTCCACTTGTTGAGGTAGAGATAGTTCATGATCAACGCCAATAATGATAATCTAGGAAATGATTGCTTGACAACAAATTTTTTTTTCACTGGCAAGTCTTTGATGTACTGAACTTTATTCCAGCCGACTGTCAGTAATAATATGCAGTGGTTTGTTCAGTGGTTCAGTACGGAACGTTACAGTACCAGTACCCATGCTGACAGTACAGTACAGTACTACAGTATACTGTACTGTAGTTCAACAGAACAAAGACAGTACTGTAGCTCACAGTACAGTACGTACTGTATATTGTACAATACAGTATGGACTGTAGTTTTGGGTCAATCGCCGAAGTTGGCCTCGATTTCGAAATTCGAAAACATTTGTTTCTTCATTAGACAAAATGAATGGGCCAGTCGAAAGTATTGTACTGTAGTAGACTACTGTACAGTACTGTATGTTTTAGGTAGCACAGTCGTACAGTGTATAGTGAGTGTAAAGTCGAAAGTCGAAAACAAATACTAGACTGTAGAGTGTACAGTACTGTACAGTCATCAATTCCAGACCTGTACAGTACTGTACACTGTACTGGATTGGACACAGTGTACAGTACAGTACAGTACAGTACAGTTACCAATTCCAGTACTGTAAACTGTACACTGTACTCCATTAGACACAGTGTACAGTACAGTACAGTTATCAATTCCAGTACTGTAAACTGTACACTGTACTGGATCAGACATACAGTACAGTACAGTACAGTACTGTACTGTACACTGCACTGGATTGGACACAGTGTACAGTACAATTACCAATTCTAGTACTGTACACTGTACACTGTACTGGATTGGACAATGTGTACAGTACTGTACTGTACAGTACAGTACAGTACTGTACACTCTACAGTACAATGTAGTGGAAGTGCGTGTAAAATGGATGTCATAGATTTACGTGTCATTTGCACAATACGTAAACCATTTTGTGCGATATCTCTTATAAACGGTCCAAACTGCAGAGATCGAACCAACTGGACACAACTAACTATGGATTGACAGTACAGTACAGTATATCAGTGTACAGTACACGTAATCACAAATCGACTTTCTACAGTACTGTACGACGTACTGTACGTGTACAGTATAGTACTGTACACTGTACAGTATAGTACTGTACACTGTACAGTACTATACTGTATGGGACGGTATAGTACTGTATACAGTATGTACTGTACTCTGGAGTCTCAGTCGGTAGTACGGCTGTACAGTACAGGACAGTAAACAAGAATCCGAAATCACTCAATCGATCAACACTTCAAGACCACCATCGGCAAAGATGACGACGTTTCAAGACACCACATCCAGAGGCATGATTAAGTTACCTGCAAATTCTCAGTTCAATCAACAAACACCTGGAAAACACCATGCCAATGTGCAAAAACGTCAGCAGCCAAGAGTAAAGGAGAACTGGAAGGATACCAACCGTGGCCAAGTGACAGAAATGGTTCCAACGAGTGTCACAACTTTCATGGATCAAGCTTATCAAATTGAAAAGCAACTAAGCAAGCTATTACCAAGGCGACAGACCAATAACAGCTTCCAATCTATATTCCGTTATAGGTATCATGCCTTGATTAGTAGTTTATTTCTCTTTTATTAGTATTGAAATGTTGCTTGTACGACTGATACGAGCAAAGAATGTACTGTATGTAGGCTGGCTGTCGCAGGAATGCAAGCAAGTTCATTCTCCTTCAGTCAATCATAGCAAATGGAAGCCTCCCATTACTGCTAGAGATTGTAATAGACAAACTGTTATACAGTACTGTCCTGCTGTTTACTATGTATGTTTATCCTCCTTATACCTTCAAAATAATTCATGCATTGCCATGCAGATCAAAATGATATTTGGATATACTGTACAGTAAATGGAGACTATTGAAGTTAATCATAGCAAATTGAAGCCTCTCACTACGGCTAGAGATTGTAATAGACAAGCTGATATACAGTACCGTTCTGCTGTTTACTATGTATGCTTATCATCCTTATACCTTCAAAATAATTCACGCATTGCCATGCAGATCAAAATAATATTTGGATATATACAGTAAATGGAGATTATTGAAGTTAATCATAGCAAATTGAAGCCTCCCACTAACACTAGAGATTGTCAAGTAGTATACAAGCTATTTTACAGTCGCATTTCTACATCTGCTACGTATACTTATCCTTATATCCTTTATACCTGCAAAATGACTCATATATCCTCCTGGAGATGAAAATTGCCTTTGGATGTACATTGTACTGTACAGTAAATGTGGACTATCATGTTGGTAGATCATGTCCACATATTCATTCCACTACACAGCTATTCTTCATAATATCATTTGATCAACATTTATTCTGAAATAGCCGAATAGGAAACTACTGTTCTACTTGTCCTCGCAGTGGTTTATCTTATCATAAAGTATCGATAGTTCGATATGAGGTACACCTCATTAAATCAAAGTCGTATTGATTTATGACTACCGATATATGGTATAATTTACACTACGTTAAAGTGGAAAAGTTCTGCGCCTAACTTGAGCTATAAAATGTTAACTTCTTAAAATGACAGTTATAACATGCAGTAAGACTGACGTGTTTGGTAACAAATTGATTGGTTTGATTACAAAAATGATGATTGTACTTATGCTTTATCACACAGTGAGAATTTACGAAAATGCTATATGGAAGCAATTTTAAGCGATATCCAGCTCGCTGAATCGCGAAATGTTGAATCTGCATTGTGGAAGCATGCATTTTATCAAGTTATCGAAAGATTCCGAAAAGATGAGCGGCCAAAATTTTCAGGTAGATCACAAATATTCATTTCGCTTAATATCAGGTCTGCAAGTCTGTTTAACAATACTTAAGGTTAAATATTATCTACTGTACACTACACAGTGTAGTATTCATGTATTATAACTTATGTATAAACACATTATTACAGTATGATGGTACGTGTTGTATTGAACTTTGATATCAAGATACAATGTACGTATACTTTGACATTGAGTACCTTATGAGATAGTTTGTATAAGTAGGAAGTCGATTACTTAAAAATTAAGATCTAATTATAATTAAGTACAGTATAGTATATAGTAAACTAGATAATTATAATTACTGCGTCAAAATTGTCCATATGAAAAGTTTTGATTTAGAGATGCTAGTCATTTTATTATAATTCTTTACCCGTAAAGTAAATGCATAACATTTATCTCGATTATGTCGATAATTACAAATTACCATACAAATCATACTTACTTACATAATATTTTCTTGACGATATAGACGATGAGCTCATCAATCAAGAAAATCCTACAGACACCCGTAAAACGGCTCTTCAACGTATTATTGATGATGCGGTATCCTTCTACTTATCGTTAATCAAACAAATTCAGGAAAAATATGGTATTGATATTGAAGACTTTTTAAAAAATTCCAACAGGATTGCCTATATCAAGCGAAAGGTATTATGCTCTATCTAATTCAGTAATTGTCATATCGACATTATTTGACTGACTGTATGCTATAGTTTACTTCGGTAATAAAAAGATGATTGTTAAATAGCATTATATTGGGAAACTGTTATTATAGAAACAAAAATTAGCTCTGGTCAGTTGTCATCGATGTTATATCGCACTTGGTGACCTGGCTAGGTACCAAGAACAAATTCAAGATTCATGTAATTACGGTGTTGCCAGAAGGTGAGCTTTTCAACTCTTCTTCCTTATGTCTTAACCGAACATATAAAGTGTAACATATTAACTATTTGTATGCTTAAGAGGTATAGCTTAAAATAAAAATTAATCTACGATATATATCTATACTTCTAGGTACTATTTGAAAGCTCAAGTTTTACTACCAAAAAATGGAAAAGTTTATAATCAATTAGCAGTTATCGCTATTTACGCCGTAAGATATTCAAAAAATCCGTTATATAAAACTAATAATGTTAACTTGTTATCTTTACCATTTATTTTGGTAATAGAATATTTTGTCGATATCCTAATTACAGTATACCTTATTTTAAGCAAGAACTATTTCTCTTTTATAATAATTGCCAAGACTATACCTGCTATTAACTTCACCTAAGAATATAGTATGGTAATTCAAGTACTGTTTTATAGTAATCATTAATTAATCGATATGATAATTAATAGAAACGCCAGCTTGATAGTGTATATTACTATATGCGAAGCCTGCTAGCAAGTAATCCAATTCTTACTGCTAGAGAAAGTTTACCTTCCTTATTCGAGCAAGCAAGAAAAAAGGTATAGATTGTATTTGACTTTGCATTTTATTCCACCTTCAACTATAGCTCAGACACATACTTTCCTTTATCTTCGTAAGTAACTCTTGGATTACTTTACCACAGGCGGAATATTACAGAAATAAGCTATCAAATGGAAAAAAGCATCAAAAGAAAGGCAATAAAAGGGAACATCAATCTATAGGAAAATATCATCGTTACAATGACGACTCTAGACAAGAAGCTACCGCTAATTATAATAATAAGCAGTTTACCAAAACTAGACAGGAAACTTGGTACAGTTCATATGAAGCAGCCGAACAATCCAAAAAATTGGATACAACAGACAATAAAGAAATTATACTTGGCTCTCCGCAGCAGGTATTTCTATTACATTTACATAAAAATTCAAGCATTTCAACTTTTAAAAAATTTTTAACCTATTTCCCGCGATTTAGTTGTATAAGTTATTTATAGCTGATTTTATTCATATTCATGGAAAACTCTTCACAAAAATCAAGTAATCACCTATTTCAATTTATTCTATTGCAAAGTATTTTTAATATCTAGAGCCTTAAGTTATATATATTTTTTTAACTTTATAGCATGGAATCTTTTCATGAACTATCAAAAGAAATTGTGAAAGAACTGCAACAGCTATTAAGAAGTTCCTCCAAGGAATCTTTAGTTCTAGATGATGCAATGGTTATTTTACAAGTTACTCTCATAAATATATTCTCGATTGAAAATTGCAGAGGTTCGGCGATTAATGTATTATTTATCCTTTATAGCTCTACTTAGAATAAAATAGCTACATTTCTGTTTATGATGAAGCTTTTGCATCTCTGCAATATTTAGATACGATTTTAGCAAGCGACGCATTTAGCTTTGGTAATGAAATTTTTAATCAACTCACTGCTTGGTTAAGCGAGACCATTCGGAGCCAGAATGATAATTGGCAGTCTCGCATAACTACTGTGCTGCCTGCTATTAAAGTTTGGTGTTTATGGCTATGGTGTGAAATAGACGAATGGACTCCCAAGTTAAGGTATTGCAAATTTACAAGTAATTTTAAGCGATTCTCAACACTGACCTAGTATCCTATTTCCAGCATGACAACATGGAAGAACATTACTGATTTGTTAAATATACTCAATTCACTTCCATTAGTAAAACCAGTGGAGTGTGATGACGGTACGTAAAATTTTATATATTCCATCAATGCAAATATAAATTGCTTAATAATAATTTAGTAAACATTCCGTCTACCTACAACTTGTTAAGGTAAAGAAGCTCTTTTGCTTTGGGAAGATCAACACATTCAAGGATTTGGTCCTTTTCATAATCGAGAGAATTTTAGCTTGTTATTTGCAATACCTCAGCCTAGTGACGAAGTAAATTGAGATGCATTGAAGAATATTATTAACGCAAGTTTATTTTAAAGTTTAAGAAATTGTTTTAACCATTGGCAATATTCTACACCTATAGAAAGAATATATGACAGCTGTGAGGAGATTGTTTTTAAATGAATTTGGCAAGTCGTTGGTGTCACTTTCAAGTCTTCCGATCAATTATGAAGATGGTAGTTTTGGTGTTAATGAGTCGATTCACTCCATGCCAATTCAAGAAATGCCATCAGAACTGCCTGTGGCTAGTGCAGATCATAATTCAGAATGTGTAATGCCCTTTGATATCACTTTTAGGAACAATCAGATAATTTTCATCGATTAAAATAACTTGATGTTAAGGTCATGGTCAATAACTATTGTTGAGATAAATTCTGATGTGCTTGATTTCATTGATAATTTAGGAATCGGACGATATCATTGTGGAAGGCGTATGCAGTGAAGATAGCGAAAATGAAGCGGATCACTTTAATATTCTCCAAGAGTATGAGATTTAATGCGTTAGCATTTCTGATTATTTTCGTAATTGGATGATTTAGTCTCTGAAACTAATATCCCTATTTTATTTTTCCTGAAAAGTCTTGCAATTACCGATGTGCAGGATGAAAATTTTGAACTACTGAAGGTTTCTGTTAAACATTTATTTTGACGTTATCGAATTTTAGCCTTCACATAAACCTTACAATATACTAAATGCGCCGATTATGTTACTTTAGGCTCGAAAAGACGAGCTCTCTAATAAAATGGCGAAACAACAAGAAATGCAAGAAACTGTCAAAGTAAGATAACATTAAGAAAGTTACAAAAACTACTTCTTCTTTTGATACCGATAGCATCAACAATGCTTGTGCCCATCAGCTTATTGGAAGATGTGACTTAATTGGATTTATGTTTATTCACTCTAGGCCGTAGTGGATCGCCAGCTAAACCTAGAAGATATCGAATTGGAAGTTATCCCTAAATATTTAGTAATTGATACCAATACCTTAATTGATCGAGTTGACTTGATTGGTAATTATATCACCCAGAAGAAATTTCATATCGTTGTTCCTCTAGTAGGTTTGTTTCATGAATAGTTATAACTAAGAACCAGTATCATATACGGAAGTTATTCGTTAGGGAATATAACAATAACACGAAGTAGATGCAAATTAACGATGTTATTTATGATGCACGAATATAGTAATTAACGAACTAAGCGGGCTATTAAAAGGTGAAGATAGTTCTTCAGATACAAGCCATTCGAGTAAAGCCAGTGAAATGGCTAAGTAAGCAAATACATATGCTTTGCATTTCGCTATTGAATTTATGCATATTAAAATTTTTATAGTGTCAACTATTGATGCTAATCCATAAATTTATTTGTTCAGGAATGCAATGATATTTATAGAAGAACATTTTAGTATTTGTAAAAGTCACTTGACGGTGTTAACAACCAAAGGCAATGCACTACGCTCGTTAAATTTTCGAAGTGAAGATACATCATCTAACACCGTAAGATTAGTAATTACTATGTTTAAGTATTGTAAACCTATTTAGCTCAAGAGATTTAGATTTTTACGGAATGAGAGCTTCTATGGTTAATTGCTTATGTACGTGGATAATAATTATTTTAGGTACATAATAATGACGACTTGATACTGCAATGTTGCTTTCGCTATTGCAATGATCGTGAAGATCTAATCGTAAGAGGTTAGGAATAAATTGTTGCGTTAGATATTTCATAGATGATTTAAGGATATAACTTAAATGATATATGTTGACTGTATTAAGGTTAGGGTTAAGCAACAATTTAATTTAATGCAGGTTCACGCAAAATTTTAAGAAGAAATGTAGTTCTTATTACCAATGATAGAAATTTGAGAGTCAAGGCACACATTCGAAATGTACCAACTAGAGATATAAATGAATTTTCATCCTGGGTCAATTGTTCCAACTAATAAGAACTAAGTTTCGATGTTGTGATTCCAAGGGTTAGCTTTGGAGATAATCCTTTCTCCGCTTGTCGTTCTACGAATTTCCTTCATGTGCTACTGTGTGTGATAATGTTCGGACATAATGAAAGTTTTCAAATGTTTGCGAATGGTTGCATACTATGTTACACATCACAGACAAGATCATGGTCTCGTATATTGCTCCGTGTTTTCGTATGGTGACGACTGATTGTATTTTATAATATGGATATGCCAAATCATAGAGTATTACTTATATTACATCGACAGCAATGTCAAAATTTGGGGTTTATGAATTGATATGATTATAATTATTGAATCAATCCATCGATTGAAGAAATTGAATTTTGTCCAGCTTGACGGTATCATCATGTAGACGTATAATGCTCGACTAATGTTTTCAAATTGTACATTGAATAGTGCGAAGAGCTTCTAATATTTCGATATGCTCTTTAAATTTCGATGATGTTTGTCTTGTTTATGCATACTGTGGTGGTGGGCTATGCGATGCAACACTGTACACTCACTGAGTATACAGTATGCTACTATATCTAGGTCATTATACGCATACTCGTATCGCGATTAACTATACACATTGACAGGAAGTATTCGTTTGATGTACAGTATGAATGTCAAGTTTTTATAACTGCCAAGTCAAGCAAAACTGATCTATCGTGAATTGTTTGTATTTTAATACTAATACTAATAGCTACGAGTATACTGTACGTGCATCTCAAAGATATAGTACTGAAATGTAAATAAATTATTGTTCTACAATTGATATAACAATCAATGACTAATAGCCTATTATGTATAAATAAATAATATATAATTATTTATCGCTGTTCATTAGCGTGCAAGCTAGCATGGACATCACACTAATTTGTCCACTATTAATTGATTAATATACAGTATATTGTACGTATAATTGGCAAAATTTTGCTGTGTAATTGTGACCTTTAAATACAGTATTGTACTGAGGCACGTGTACAGTTTATGAACTATTCTGTACATTGTTCCTGGTTAGTGAGTGATAGGAGTCTTCTTAATGTACCGTATCGTATACCGTATGCATTAAGTAATTTAATTAATTTAAAGCTCAACTCAGTTGTTTCATAAGAGCATTTCCCCAAGGTTGTTTAATCATTTCTACCTTGTATGCCACCTTGTGGACGCCCGTTGACTTTAACCACTTTCCATTTTTCTCCATTTTGTTTACTACTGCATACTGCATCCGCAGCAAATACTGCTATCATTGAGGATAGAAGTGAAGGACTAGTGATAGTTTGTCCAGTTAACTAAAGTTCAACTACGAAATAACAGATAATATGATCGATTTAATGGATGCGCCTTGGCTGGCTCCAGCTGCCGTGGTAGGCGTTATTGCTTGCATTGGTCTCGTTTGTTTATTGGCAAGACCTTGTGCTGGAGGTGTATGTCGTAGTCGAGCTCGATTGGATAATAAGACTGCTATCATTACAGGAGCAAACACAGGTATTGGCAAGGAAACCGCTGCAGATTTTGCAAGAAGAGGTGGCAGAGTTATTCTCGCATGTCGGAGCAAAGCCAAAGGCGAAATTGCTGCTGAAGAGATCCGTCATGCTACTGGCAATGATAATGTTGTGTTTAAGTGTTTAAATTTGGCATCGTTTCAATCCATTCGAAGTTTTGCTGAAGATATTAACAAAAATGAGAAAAGCCTTGATATTTTGGTTAACAATGCTGGTTTAGTCGTTGAAAGGCAATTAACGGAAGATGGTTTAGAAATGATTATGGGAGTGAATCATTTTGGTCATTTTTTATTAACAAATTTGCTATTGAATAAAATGAAAGAAAGCAAAAATGCTCGTATAGTGGTGGTAGCTTCCTACGGCTATTCATTCGTACGATCGCTTGATTTCGATGATATTCAAAATGAGAAAAATTTTTCAGCCTTTAACGTCTACTGTCAAAGCAAATTAGCTAATGTATATTTTACGCGAGAGCTCGCAAAACGATTGGAAAGTGACGGTATTCTTGTCAATTGCCTGCATCCAGGAGGCGTCATGACTGACATCTGGCGTGATATGAATAAATGCCTCAAAGCTTTTGCATATCCGTTTGCTTTGATGCTTTTCAAGACACCAAAAGAAGGCGCTCAAACTACGATACATCTTGCAGTTTCTGAAGACATAGACGGTCTTAGTGGTCACTATTTTGAAGATTGTCGACCTGTAAAGATGAAACCTCACGCTCTTGATGATGAAGCTGCTAAACGATTATGGGATGTTAGTGAAGAGTTAACTGGCCTATCCGTACATTAATTGAAGCTCTCAAGAAGAGTGAGTATACGGGCTCTATCTATACTCGTCTATGTATATTAATAGCCTTAGCATTGTTGATAAGGCAGTTAAGTCTACCGGTAAAATTCATTTTATTTGGAAAGATTGTAGCCAATGCAATCTCTGCTAAATATGAAAGACAACATAAATCTCTTTCAATAACTACCTATCGATACAGAGTCTTTTTACTATTTACTTGTGCGTTCCATTGCCAGCATCATTAAAATTGCATATTGTACAATGAGTTGGTAGTTTTTTTCGTGAAGTACAATAGTTGATTTGACAAAGTCAGGAATGCATTTTATCCGTTCTCTGATTTCGTCAGCGTAAGCAAATGGCTAACTTGCAGCCCTACCCGTAAATCGTGGTTTTAATGAATTGCTGCTGTAATCTACGGTGGCTCACAATCAGTAGGCTGACTAATACATTGTATGTTGCTATGCTCGTATAAGAAGAAGAATTGCTAGGACAATAGAAATAGCGTAGCGCCATTTCTTGAATGTTTTTATTCATTACTGGTATATTTGTAATTTCTTCTTTTTATTGACAGTTATTAGAATAGTTCTTCTCGCACTGAAAACTTACTCCAGAAATGTATTCGAATACTGAGTTTTGCCGATTGTGTTTATTAGTTTACTTGAAAATATTTCCCATTCTTCAATCACGGTCAGAGGCTGCGTTGCAGGATAGTGTGACAAATTAGCCACTATTCGCTCTTCTTCCGTGCAATGGTGACGTAATGGAAAAAAAAAATCAAAAAAAAATGAACTGAAGATATACTGTCAATCCATAGTTAGTTGTGTACAGTTTGGACCGTTTATAAGAGATGTCGCACAAAATGGTTTACGTATGCTGCAAATGACACCTACATTGATGACATTCATTTTACACGCATTTATACAGTACTACATTGTACAGTAGAGTGTATTGTACTGTACTGTACTGTCAATCCATAGTTGAGTTGTGTACAGTTTGTTCGATCTCTGCAGTTTGGACCGTTTATAACAGATGTCGCACAAAATGGTTTACGTATGCTGCAAATGACACGTAAATCTATGACATCCATTTTACACGCATTTCCACCACATTGTACAGTAGAGTGTACTGTCAATCCATAGTTAGTTGTGTACAGTTTGGTCGATCTCTGCAGTTTGGACCGTTTATAAAAGATNGTCGCACAAAATGGTTTACGTATGCTGCAAATGACACCTACATTGATGACATTCATTTTACACGCATTTATACAGTACTACATTGTACAGTAGAGTGTATTGTACTGTACTGTACTGTCAATCCATAGTTGAGTTGTGTACAGTTTGTTCGATCTCTGCAGTTTGGACCGTTTATAACAGATGTCGCACAAAATGGTTTACGTATGCTGCAAATGACACGTAAATCTATGACATCCATTTTACACGCATTTCCACCACATTGTACAGTAGAGTGTACTGTCAATCCATAGTTAGTTGTGTACAGTTTGGTCGATCTCTGCAGTTTGGACCGTTTATAAAAGATGTCGCACAAAATGGTTTACGTATGCTGCAAATGACACCTACATTGATGACATTCATTTTACACGCATTTCCACCACATTGTACACTACTGGATATGCTGTCAATCCATAGTTAGTTGTGTACAGTTTGGTCGATCTCTGCAGTTTGGACCGTTTATAAAAGATGTCGCACAAAATGGTTTACGTATGGTGCAAATGACACCTACGTTGATGACATCCATTTTACACGCATTTCCACCACATTGTACACTACTGGATATGCTGTCAAGTGTCAATCCATAGTTAGTTGTGTACAGTTTGGTCGATCTCTGCAGTTTGGACCGTTTATAAGAGATGTCGCATAAAATGGTTTACGTATGGTGCAAATGACACGTAAATTTATGACATCCATTTTACACGCATTTCCACTACATTGTACTGTACACTACAGTGTACAGTACACTCGTGTGTACTGTAAAATCTTGGACTTGCAATCTTGACTTGATGTTCAGTACTACAGTGCGTATGCTGAAACATCTCAGATGTGGGACAAATCATTACGTACAGTACAGTACAGCATACTGTTCCATACACCTTTAACTCATGCCATGTACAGTATTTTATCCACGCGCTTCCACTACTGTACTGTACAATGTACTGTACAGTACAGTACTATACCTGTACTGTACAGTGTACAGTCGGGACTACTGTGCACTGTACACTGTACTGGACAATACAATCAGGTCAACAACGGATCATTGTGCTAACAGCCAGTAACAGGACATGGATCTATTGTTTAGCTTGTACAGTGTACAGTGTACAGTGTACAATCATGGACTTGTAGAAATACGATACTGTACTGTACTGGTGACGCAGGACGTTGATTGCCTGTACTGTACGTACACATTGACCCTTGACCTTTAGGCAATCTGCTAGATGCCAACTTCAATTCAATCGTCGATAGAGTAGGACATCCGTAGGCCGTCTGCCATACCAAATTCTATATAAAAAAGCAGCAATCAAGTAGGTAGGTAGACGCTAGTCAGTGTTGCAAAATAGCCAAGCATAACCGGTGCCGGCGTCGAGGAAAAACAGTAGCCGCAAAACGAGAATCGAGTATCAAGTCAAAGCTGACTTTCCAATTGATTTAGTGAATACTTTTCCATCAAGTGGACGAGGCAATTGCTGTACTTGGATACATTGGTTAGAAGAAAGACAACAGTTGGAAAGAGATGATTGAATTATTAAGTGAAGTACCTTGGCTTGCTGGTGCTGCTGTCATCGTTGTTAGTATGGGTCTACTCTACGCCGTCATTGGGGTACTTTGGGCTCGAAGTTGTCGCAGTAAAGTCCGATTAGACAACAAGGTCACCATCATTACAGGAGGAAACACTGGTATTGGCAAGGAAACTGCGATCGATTTCGCTAAAAGAGGGGCTAGAGTTATTCTCGCATGTAGGAACGAAACAAAAGGTGAAAGTGCCGCTCAAGACATTCGTCAAGCCACTGGCAATGACAACGTTGTGTTCAAACATTTAGATTTGGCATCGTTTAAGTCTATTCGAAGTTTTGCTGAAGATATTAATAAAAATGAGAAAAGTCTGGATATTTTAGTTAATAATGCCGGTGTAGCATGTGAAAGGCAATTAACCGAAGATGGTTTAGAAATGATTATGGGTGTCAATCATTTCGGTCATTTTTTGTTAACCAATCTAGTATTGGATAAAATTAAAGAAAGTAAAAATAGTCGTATTGTAGTCGTGGCGTCTTGGGGCCACTCACTCATACGATCCATTAATTTTGATGATATTCAAAATGAGAAAGATTTTAATTACCTCAACGTCTACTGTCAAAGCAAGTTGGCTAATGTCTATTTCACTCGAGAGCTTGCCAAAAGACTCGAAGGACATGGTATCCTTGTCAATACATTACATCCAGGGTCGGTGAGAACTGAAATTTTTAGACATATGAATCCATGCACCAAGCTAGTTGGATATCCAGTGGCCTTGATGTTTTTTAAATCAGCCAAACAAGGCGCTCAAACAACCATTCAACTTGCTGTTTCTGAGGAAATTAATGGCATGACTGGCCTATATTTTGAAAATTGTAGACCGGTACAGATGAAGCCTCATGCTCTTGATGACGAAGCAGCCAAAAGATTATGGAAATTAAGTGAAGAAATGACTGGTTTAGCACCACCACAATCACTGTAAAAAGAGCAAAGATCAATTTACGATCCACAATCAATGAACATTTAATTGGCATCATTCATTGATTACTTTTAGTAATCTGTGATTTATAAGGGTAATAAAATCTTTATCTTTTTTTATGCGTGTGCTACCATACTTATCACATAGTACAGTATACTAGTGCGATACTATGTGCACGTGCAAATCAACTTAATCAATAATTCGAAAGTTTCAATAGTACAAATAAAGTTGATTTGATTTCAAATGGCATAAACATGGTCAACGAATACGATTCGGTATCAATTTTGCTCTCTAATAATAATTGCTGTAGTATAGAATATACGTATAGAAAGTAATATAGGAGAAGTTGTTACCAGTATGCTGCTGACAGTATTTGTTATTAACTGCAAATCATAGTGGTCGATAATATATATGATATTTTATCCTCATGCATATCATGTTCGTGTAAACTTTCGGTATTACTATTTACTATTTAAATGATAACTAGAAAGTAATAAAAATGTTAAATTCTCATTAGTGTTTACCGCTATAGCCCTTGATTCTATGTTGTTTGTGTTTTGATTTACGTTTTGATGTTTTTTTGAAATATTACATTTTTGGTGAAGAAAATAAATTACAAGTATAACCATAACATATATATTACGTCTATCGATAGATATATATATAGTATTTGTTGGCGTTTATAAGTCAGCAAGTTCTAGCCGGCAGTCGGTCGCTTTTCAGATGCCCATTTCCTCGATGTTCCACACACTCATACTGGAACATACTGTACAGTATAGTACTGTACAGTCACATAGAAAACATACAGTACTATGTACTGTATAGTACGGATACGATACTTATGCATAGTCATGGATGATAGTAGACCTCTCTCTAGAGGGTCTCTAGTGTACACCTCCAGAACTACGTACTGTATGGGACAGTATCGCACAAAGCATATTTGATACGGACGTCGGACTATGGACAACACTGAACTACATTACATCAATCGGTTTTACGGTTGTAATGGTAACGGTTTAAATAAGTGCCATCAATTTAAACAGACAGTATATTAAATTTAACTAGTAAAAATAATATTGCGCTCACAGTCAGGATAGAGCACAAGCAGTACTTCTATCGAGAGTGGAACTGTATGACGATATACTCTACTGTCATTCCTTTACGTATACGTATTGTAGTCGATTTGATCAATATAAGTCACCTACTAATATCTGTCAAATTTAGTCGTCCAGCTTTATGTATAAGAATTTCTAGTTAGTTTTTCTACTTATTTTAGTAATCATATTATATCGTATTGATCGTCACTATACGTACATATATTTATAATCAAGTATACCTGTATAGTGTCATAATTAAACTTAGACTCGGTAAGTATAACTACAGTACTTGTTTACAAATTTCAAATTCCAATGTCGAAAATAAAAGCATGAGTAATCAAGGAGATATCGTAACGCTGGTAAGTATTATAAATAAGGAGAAAATTATTTATTAAAGAACTTTACGGCATCTTTTATTATTATTAAATCAGATAAATGTAATAACAGTGCAGAATAAAACGAATGAGAATCTAGGATAGCAATTTAGAAGGCTTGTAACTAAAAACGTCATACCCGTATACTGTACTGCATCCATCCATATACGTCTACGTTTAACTAACTACATTTTCATCTACTACAGTGTATGGATTTCAGTAATAACTACCTTATACATACTCATATATTTATGTTATATAGCCATTAAGATCTCGAAGTATAAAAGTATGTATGCTTGCGTCAATAGCATGCATACGTAGATGCCATCCGATAGTAATTATATTGCAATATATTCAAACGTATGTTATTGATACGGATTATAGCACTACAGAATCGATAGCTGAAATCAATTCTCTGATTAATACTATATACGAAGACTTTAGCTAACAACGACAATTTTGCAAATATAGAGCATGTGTCAAGGCTTAATGTAGTCATCATGTACTCTTAATCATAGGATATGAATAAAGTCTTGCGATAGCGTTAGAATTCTTCATTATTTTTGCGCTCATAAACGTGCAATATTTTAAACTTTTCCTTTTCAGGCTCTATATACGCATATAAGAGTAGAAATAGTAGCGATTTAAGATTAATTGGAAATATTTACTGCTATAGCAATTGATATGGATTGATTAAATAGATCAATTGTCATTTTATTACAGTCACCAGCGATAGAGCAATTTCCTACAGCTGTTATTGTTGCCATTGCCGTCGGTGGATGGGTCTTCCTAGTAATTATAGCTTTAATCGTGAGAAAAATTGTGCAAGTACGCCATTTGTAAAATCTTATTTACCTCAGTATCTATTGCTTGTATCATTTGTAACTTGTGGTACTCGTAGATATGAATGCAACTAGATTATATTCTAGATTAACTGTTTCAATTATTTCATAGGATAAAGGATATTGTAATAAATTTTGTGACTCATTCCAATGTTGTACTGGTTGTCGTGCATCTGCCGCGTCTTGTTTTATGAGTTTTGCCCAAACTTGTGATTTTAAACTTCCTAGCAAACAAGGTGTTGCTGATTTATTTTGCCCGAATCCAGAAGTATGTAAATTTAAATTAAAATTATCGCTTTCAGGCTGATAGAAAACAATAAATGCTTCTTATTATAGCAGTTGCTTTTTTAGTACAGTAATCAAATGTTAAAATTTATCTTAAATTAGTCTTGCGGAACTCCTCAAAATCCTTGTCAGGGATGTTGCCAAGGATGCTGCAATGGCTGTTGTGATGGCTGTTGCGATGGCTGTTGCGATGGGTGCAGCGATGGATGCTGTACAGGCTGCAGCGATACCAACTGCTGTCAATGCACATGTCAAGTACCGAGCTGTGATGTTATCAATTGCTTCTGCTGTGAAATAACTATTAAATAACTATGAAGTAAACTAGATACAATTGGCTAACTCACTTTTTATATAAACTTCGACTATATTGAAAGAAAATTGCTAAAAAAACTCAAGTGAACAGTAACTGAAGATTTAAGAAAACAAGTTTACCAGATCAAGTAATGCATGTGGAGTACAAGATTATTATCAATTTTTTCTTTTCTTATTGTAAATTACCAATACTATTATTATTCGATTTAGCATCAGCACTATCTGTCGCTTTAATGTATTAATTATAAATGCAGTTATTTCGGTCTGATATGTAAATAGGTAACGGAGAGTTCACTGCATTTTGCAAAGTACAAACTTTATACATACTCGTATACAAGATTTAGTAATGATTTGTTATATAATTTTAATCATGTTTATTACAATAATTAAAGATTGGATAATACTGTAAGTTATATTACAATTCGTAAACCATGCCCTTTATAGGTTTTAATATTAAAATTCAATAAAACTATCTATTTGAATTGCGATCAACATATGATAATGGCGCTACGATTTTGTTAGCTCCTCAACAGCAACCATGCGGTACGATATAATAAACAAAGATATGCAAATACATTAAGCTTGATGACTTTCTATAGTAAAAATTTATGTACAATCAAATTAATCAGTAGTTAACAGATAATTTGGATAAATTATCGATATAACTTTTCGGCTTATTTAATCCACAAATCGTCTGACAAGAAAGAGTTTATCTAGAATTCCCTCCATTATCATTGCGTATGGATAAACCGACTTCATTAGCAACCTTCAATAGCTGCAACTGAGCTTCAAGGTCTTCATGGTTTGATTGTAGATTATCGCATGCTTCGCTCAATGTGAACCACTTATTTTCTCTATTTGTATTGGATTATCATATAAGTACATAGCAATATCTTTTATTAAATAGTTATAGTCTTAACTACGAACAAAAATTGTTATAAAAGTATATGATACAATGGCAATAATACACTAAATTTATATTATCAATAAAAAGAGGGGTGTTGAAACGTATGTAGAACTGTCGAATAGTATAAATAATTCGTTTTATGGTAATACTGAAGACAAGGTTATTCTATACAATAGAATTAATAATTCCAGAAATAGAGTTTCCTACCTTTCATTATAATAAGAATTTGATTTCTGTGCAGTAGTTTTAGAGTAGTTTAAAACCTGAGGATTGGAAATTAATGATTTACGATTTCTATAATTAGTTAACTACTGTAAGTATGTTCATCGAGTTAAAGTTTGTAAAACTAAAGGTCCATACTACCTCACTTTCTTTTAAATCAGGACTATTGCATTCGCAATCAAAGAATTCGCTGGAGGAAGATTTATCGTTGCCACTGGAATTGCTGTCAACTGATAATGTGGAGGAATTTACAGACACCTTCGTATTATGAGATCGGTTCATGGGTATTTCCTGTTCATTGTTAAGCAAAGTCTTTGGAATCAAGCTCGTTTTTCTTGTAACATCCTCAAAATTGGACGGAGAGCTGAGTTTCTCATTAAAATTACTTCCAGTTGCTGCCTCTTTCCGACAATCTTTTTGACTTTTGTTACAAGGACTTACGCTGTCATCTTCATTACCACAGTTAGTTTCTAGTAATGCTATACTTTCTTCTGATTCCGATTCAACTGGGTTATGCATGTGCATTTCTTTATACTCTGCAAATATGAAACCTTTAGTATATGTCAAAAACTCGAAATATACAACAAAAATGACAGTGATAGTCACAGTAATCACTAACTGCCCAATATGATTATCAAAATTTATAATTTATCTCTAAATCTATTCATAAAAAACTTAGCAGAGACCACATTAATTTTAAAGTAATAAGTTTCTTACCATTTTCAACAACATTATCATCACTGTTTTGTTTTATGTTCTTATTATCAGTTAACGAAATTTCCGATAACGTTTTTGTTATAGCTTCGGAATAGTCTTCCTCTATCGTTTCATGCACATTAGTTGATGCTACATCTTGTAAATCAAGCTTTTTAGATTTATATTGTGTCTCGGAAGAAATAACTTTATTAATCGTTATATTCTTTTTTTCTAATATTCTTGAAACTGACGGGATATGTTGAATGGTGTTATTTTTTTTATCCGACTTGGACGGAACAAATAATTCAGAATCTGGAAGGCAAAACTTAACAGATTCCATTTGCTTGCTAGCTTTAGCAGTACGAGATTTCTGTTGAGATTTTTTTTCACTCTGACCAAATTTCGGTACAATAGATGGAAAGGAAGTGATGCCTAAAGCAGTCACTAGACCAGTATTTTTGACCATGTCTGATTCTGCCGTAATAGCTCTTTGAGCATTCTGGATCTACGGATATACAAGGTAAATGGACTATATTCAAAAAATGAGAAATTTCAAATCCAGCCTTAAATGATATTAATTACCCTGGCTTTAATATATTCTTGACTACTTTCATCAACCATAGACCGAGTTTTTTCTTCCTTGCTAAACATTAGGTCATGATCACTTATTCCAAAGATGCCTGCATAAATGATAGTTGTTAATAATGAATCGTGATAGTGTTTCAGATAGAGTACGCTCCGTATGAGATCATACCTAAAGTTTTTAGAAATTTTATGTGGGCTTCTAAATCAGGATCTGTTTTTCTCTCTGATGCATGCATCTTTTCTAACTGTACTTGAGTATTTGATACATGAGGAGAATCTAGTGCAAACATGTCATACAGTTCTTGCTTGCTAAAGTATCTATAATTATAATAATATTATAAATATAAATTCTTTGTTAATATTTTACACCTAACTAGACCTAAGAATTTATGTATTTAATACCTAAAAGGATCTTTAGTACTACCAGTAGTCTGATTTATGATTGAATATTTAAAGATTTGACGTCTATATATTTTCTCTTCCACAGTCCCACAAGTGATTAAGCGATATATTATTACATTATGGGATTGTCCGATTCGATACACTCTAAATTAATTAAATACTTTGAAGTTGATATAACGTTGCTTCTAAAGTTATATAATTTCATTAACTTAATTAAATATTGCAAATAATGCAGCCTAAATCCTAGAGTACCTATCTACGGCTTGGGCGTCAGTCGCTGGGTTCCAGCTTGGATCGACTGAAAAAAAATTGAAATGATTCTATCATCAAGTTACAATTGGTATCCAAAATTTTAAGCATAAGCTACTTGTATGCTAACTATTACAATACCGTAATAAAATTTAAAACTAAAACATTTTTTAACTAAAATTAATGAAATAATACATCTACAGCATACACATACGTACAGATTATCACACGGTCTGCTGCAGTTAGATTTAGACCTACGCCTCCCACCTGTAACATGTATTTATAAAATAAGCTATAACTTAATCGATTTTCTTGTGGCCAACGATGCATTTAGAAATTAATTTCTGAAAAATCTTCTAAGAGAATATTATAAATACAGTATACTAATCATTCTACAGAATGATGCCTCAACCTGAGTCGTTAGTAAAAAGCATAGGTAAGAAGAATTAGTTTGAAATTCTTGCACTAGTTCCATTCTTCTACCAGGTTTAGTAACTGTACCGTCAATTCTTAACATCTTATAACCCTAAGAAATGGATTGGTTTTTATTACTTCATTAAAGAATAAGAAGTCAAAGAAGATATAATCAGGGCAGCAACTCACTCTCTCTGTTACAACTTTTTGAATAATATTCAGCATCTTACGCGACTGGCTAAAGATTAAACACCGATGACCATTTATTTCAAAATTTTCTAATAAATCTGCTAAAAGCTGTAATTTTCCTGCTTCCTCCAAAAGTACTCTAATAGCGGGAAGGCTTCTAGCAAAATCTTTGTACTCTACCACTTCATCGTCATCATCCCTATTCGAGATCAAAATTAGATCGATAGTGTAATACGCAATTAATCCAGTGGAGGCTGGTAAAGATCTACGTACTCTTCAAGCCCTAGTTCCGAACAGGCATGAGACGATAGCAAACGTGGATGGTCACAAATCTTTTTTAAGACTGTTAATTCGGTTAATGGAGAATGCGAAGACATTAAAACCTTCAATTAAGGAGAAAAAGATTGACTTAAAAGAGCGGTTAACATGAAAAGGCTGTATTTGCAAAAATAGTGCGAAATACAGAAATTATCTAATGAAATTTCGCACAAACTACATTGCCTTAGGTACAATGTAACACTGGCAAAAATTAGGTTACGCCTAAGCTGTTACGTTTTTTACGCGGTCCAACGTCAAAAAGTCTTTATAAATCTTTATTTGTGTTTTACTTAACGGTAACCAAATCACGAAATCATTTTTCCTCATTAAAGTAGGAGGCTCTCTTGAGCTGGAATGAATTAAGGAATGACTACGGTGATCAATTATTGTCATAAAATTCCATTGCATACATATAAGCAATCGAATATAAGAAATGTATACCAAATAGTCTGGCTAGGATTAGAACACGAGTCCTGGAATGCATGGTCTGGTTTCGTAGGCTGTTTTTCTCTTGCTTTCATGATTGCTTTCGTCCGGCGAAGTATATAGGGCTTAATCAATTTCTGCAAACTTTCAGACATACTGTTACCTAAATGGCGCTCATCGTCAGTTGCATCTTTCTCACGACCCTGTAATATGCAAAAATAATATTTATACTGTACATACTCTTTATTAAGTTATTGGTCTAGAGTTTGATTAGAGGTGCTACCACGACATCCGTGAAGAGGTTCTATAATAATATCATTACTTACGCGAACGATGGGAGCTTCATACTGCATTTGAAAAGTTTTAAGGCTGCCTAATAATTTGCCTTGACAAACGTAATCTAGTAGCGACCACAATTCCTACGCGAAAAAAGTTGAGTCCAGATAGTGAATTGCAGTAAAAGTGCGAACAACTACCGCATACCAAGTTTAATTTACCATCACAGCCTGATACTCATATACTGTTCTGCAATATTATATGTATGCATATATGCAGTAATAATACTATTTTTTAATTACACTGAAAGAAATCATAGAGTTCATGTAGTTATTTAACTACAACTATTTACTACACTAAATGTACGCACAAGGTAGAAATTTTACGTTACGATTGAAAACTTTATTAGTAACTTTCGGAGTACTATACAATTTAAAATTAAAAATAATGCAATGAAACAATGAATTAAAAATCAATAGTATTCTAGGCTACCTTCAAATTATTTTGAATGGGAGTTCCTGTAAGAACGATCCTACGCCTCGATCGAATCTCACGAAGCATTTTACTAGTTTTAGTAGAATTTTTTATTTTATGTCCTTCATCCAATAGAATAACATCCTGTAATTTTAATTAAATGACATTATTATGTGACATTACATTTATGGTTAGTCCTCATAAGCTGTAGTAATATAATCTAAATGATCCAGAAAAATTTTTCCAGCTGTTATTTTAGATATGTCCTGAATAAATGAGATATGTTACAATTGAATTTTAAAGAATTTACGACAGAAACAGTAATTACAGCATAATGATAATACAACAACATTATATGGTTGTGTTTCAGTAATAAACTAAATTGAATTAACATTCCTATATTAGTTCTCAATTAATAAATAAATTACGTAGATGTAACAATTACCCAAACGAAAACATGCCCATATTTGTCCTTGCTGAGCGAATTAGATGCGGCAATCAAACCTAATAGACAGATTTTAATAGCACGCATTACATATATATTTGTATTCAAAATCGCATGAATAAAATTTGTAACTTTAATAGATTTACTTTATCTATAGAAAGTAGATTCTTTATTTAGGCATTAAACTAGATTATTTTTACATCTAGCTGAAATATAATGAAAATTTTACCGTATGTAGTTAGCAATATACCACCCCTGTTTTGAATGTTATTTTTGGTGATATCGCGAGCTTGCTTATTAGAACCATGAAATTTACCAACCCTAATCTGTGGATTCCTATATAATTGAGAATTAAAACTTGTAAATTTATAGCTACTCTCAATTCAAAATAACAATAATCTTTAAAAACATATTTAAAGAGTGAAAATTATAAGCTAACATTGGGTATTGAATGTTTAAAATGTCATAATTTTAAAGTTATTATGCTACCAACCATTTTTTAAATTCAGCTTCCCAGTTTTCCATTAATGATAATGGAACAACAATAATAATAGCTGCCCTTTTCTTTTCATTTGATAATGCTGTTATAAAAGTAATAGATTGGAGAGTCTTTCCAAGACTGCTCGTAACGAATGAAAAACAGTCATCACTCAGATTTATATTACGCTACATAAAGTTGCTAAAAATGTCCACCTCAGCAATAAAGATGCACTTTACATTATTGGATTGAAACGTAAACAAAGATAATTTAAAATATATCATTATAGAAGAGTTGTAGTTTGTAGATCGTTTCTTACCCCATATCATCAGCTAAGATACCGCCGTCTTTATCTTTGTAAATCCTCCATAGCCAAGCAACTCCATCGCGCTGGTAATCATATAAATGGTTATACAATTCTCTTTCTAGAATACAGCCGTTACCAATATCAATGGATGTTGCTACTTCATCCGCATCATTACTTTCGTTGTCATCTTCTGCAATTGCTTCCTAATGTGCAATCAATATTTCTTAGCTGATACAGTCAAGCTAAAAATTTTGCTGCATTCCATGATCAGTTGTGTATATCGTACCTTCAATCTCTGTATTCTCCTGTACAATTTATCAGAACTTTGGATTGAATTCGCTTTCTCGAACAATTTTAATGCTGTCTTATAATCATATTCTTTAATTAATTCTTTGCCTTTGGAAATGAGTTTATTGAATTTAGCCTGTAACACTTTGTCGATTGGCTGATTTTCCTTATTATTTCCTATTTCAAGAAAAGACACAATGCATGCATGCACCTTATAGAAATCATCATTTGCAAAGGCTAACGAATTACCTACTGCAAGATAATAATATCTTTAAAATTGTTAGGGTATCATTTGGGAGGTAAAATTTGCTTTAATGAAAGTATGCCCAAACAGGAGATGACTTTTGAATCGAATTTAGGTTTGCTTAGTTTCGTTTAGAGACTAGAAAGATGTGCAGTTGCTGTGGAAACCTGCCACCTGACACAAGGGAGAGCGTCAGCATTCGAGTCATACAGTCGGTTCATGCAGAGGAGGACAATCCCATACTACCTGGCAACCCCCAACCGACAGATTTATAAACTACAGGGATTCGACTTAGCTAAATTTATGGTAGCTAACTTGGCTGTAATTTGATCAGTATTATTATCGCTATTAACTTTGGATAATGTGTGTCTACGTCTGAAGTCTTTCACTCAATTAATAGCCAAGTTACGCTTGAAGATTATAAGCTACCACTGCAAATCGTTTGATTTGGCTTGGCTCAATGAACGAATTTTGTGTCTTCCAATGGTGTCGTTGAGAGACCCTGGAGAATTTCTCTACTGTCTCTAGTATCGTTGATTGAAATACTGCTTCAAGCAGCAGCGATTTCAACTTCTTAATGGTCAGCATTGAAATCGGTGATTTAAAACCGATAACCGATCGATTCATAAACTGTAGTGATTAGCACTGACCTAAATTCAAGGCGGATAGCTTGGCTGCAACTTGATCCGTATTATTATCGTTATTGATTCTGGGTAATTCGTCGACGTCTGAAGCTTCCATGACAGTAATAATTTCTTTCTCAACTGAATTAATAGTCGTTTTATTCTTGAGGATTCCAACTACAAATTCTTTAACTTAGCTTGGCCAAATAAATGTGAATTTTCTTCCTTGGATTGCTGTCGTTCATTGAAATGCTGCTTTTGAACAGTAGGTGACTTGAACTCCTTAATACTTCTAACGGTCAGCTTTCAAATCGGTCTCGTACCACTCGTAACGCACCCAACCGGACCGTATCGGATCGGTACCATATCGGGCCGTTCTGTACTGGTACTACAGTAACTAGGAACTGGACTGCACGTCTAGCCGTTATGATCGTACTGTACTGTATGCTGCACCCAGTACTGGGTGCAGCATACAGTGCAGCAGTAGTGTTGACGTGTTGTGCTATGTTTACATTTACTGTACACCTTCAGGAGAGGATAGTTTAAATTTCCCGCAACTCTTGGATCTCTACTGTAGCCATGCTGTAGACTAGTGTAGTGCAACTTTCTTCTTTTTTTACGCGTATTTACGACGAAACCCGCAATCGATCCAGCTCGCTCAATTCTACTCCAATCGCATTTCTTGAGAGCAATAATGAGAATAATCGTTATAGATAGATATACTGTATTATTAAACTCGACATCTCATAAGTACCGCATACGGATATACTCATATAATATAAAATAAACCGGCTATATTAAATACATGATAAGTTTATGCCTAACTGAATGTGTTAATAAATCTTATCGACGTTTAAACCGCCTTATTTAATACCTGATAAGTTAATGCCTAGCTAAATGTGTTAGCGTATCTTGTCAAGATTTAAACCGGCCTTATTGAATACCTTTATATCTCACTAAATATATTAATGTGTCCCAGTGACATTTAAAATTTCCCATATTGAATAATTGACAAGCTTATATCTAATGGACAATATCAACGTGTCTTACAAACATTTAGCTACATCATTAGCGATATTGTAGACTTTTATAACGTTAATTCAACATAGCTTTGATTAAGTCTTTCTGGTATACGTAAATGCATACGCTATCAAAAAGCACCAGTAGGAGAGATTTTATCTATAAATTCGAAGTATAATTCGGTAGAAAATAATTTCATCTACTTTATTTAGCGAATATATAAATCAAAATATTGTATCTATAAATATACATCGATTAGTATACAGTACAGTATATACACATAAATAGACCTAAATACTCTAATAGTCATCTTTCTGTTTACTTATTTTCTCTCGCTCATAAAGATTAATGCTGTTATCTAGAAGTTATAGTAGATCTAACCTGACTTATTCAATACTAGTTAATAATTTCATGCTCGCTAAAATATTCACTTATCTTAGTTTTGACATTAGATACAGGAATATTATAGATTTTTAAAATGGAATATACTATATAATAACATTGAATAACTCTTATTTATGTAAATGAAAGTACAATCAAAAAATATTAAAATAGGATCCAATCTGTAAATTTGAAATATAGTTTTATCTAAAACATTTTACCTATTTCATTTAGTGAATATGGTATATAGACCTAAATGTTCTTGAAATAATTAATATACAGTATGCTAATCTTCTCTTAGTCATAAAACTACTATTCTTATTGGTATGCTATAAAAGTTCTAATCTCGTAGTAATCGCTTGCTATGAATCATTTAAAATGACATTATCGGATAAATTAGCTTAATTCAAGTTATAGAAGTCATCAACATTAGCTTATTAAATACATCGAGTACTAGCTCAACTAATAAGACTTTACGCTTACGTAAAGGCTCTCAAATAGAATTATTTACAAACAAATAACAAAGTAAATAAGCAACAACTATAACTTTTGCAAATCAGATGAACCGTACTATACTGTAGTTTTCGTCAGGCCAATAGAAGTTTTTTCTTACCTCTATGGTCAGGCCAGTCAGTGTCTCAGGGTGGTTTACAGTACACTATAGTGCAAAGACTTCGCACTGTAACAGATATTATATCACAAGATTGTACTTTGGCATCACGAGCGGTTGCAAGTAAAATAACTTTTACTTGTTGACGCCCTAAAACTGTTATTGCAACGTTTAATCACGGTACGACAGAATAACATAAGAAAAATTAAATCTTAAGTGATAATAAATTTGAAATTTTTACAGTAAAGGAAGCTACTTGCAAAGTTGCAATAGTCAACACAATTTTCGTTTTACTCGAATAAACAGTTACAAGGTTGAATTGTATAGTACGCTCACTATATACGCGTATGTTGCTTGATATCGGAACTACATATTTTTTATTAGATTTATGAATAAATTATAATTATCGATCCTTCAATTACGAGGAATAAACCCGTTAAAAGTAAAGGCTGTAATACGGGTATTCCATCTATCTTTAATGTTAATCTGGCGGTATCTTATTTATTGCACACGAGTTTTCAGTAAAATTCATGCGATGTCTACAAGTGCTATTGATCCTAACCGACTTCAATATTATGGCTGCCTTCTTCTTAGTGGCATATATTTACAGCAAAAAGAATGCATGAAGGCCAAATAATTAACTGACAAAACGCGAGAAATAGCTGAAAAGTGAAAAGATGAAATGATGATTGCGGAAAGTTTACGTAAATATGGTGACATTAAGCGAGTGGAAGGAGATTGTAATAAGACATTGAATATGAAATCAGTTAGTATAAAATTAAGGTATACAGCCGAATATAATCCCTGTGTCGCTAATTCATATGAAGAGATAGGGATATTTACTATGGTCATCCGTAAGCAAGGTGACAGGGTGTAAGGACATAATTGGTAATCGAATCTAAATGCAGGCATAGAGTGCATAATCATCATCTGTTATGGAGATGCACGATGGGCAAATTGATAAATACCACAAGTCGATGACTTATATTTACGTTAATATTTGTTAGCAATACAGTAGTACAATAACTGTAATATAAACTAACGTTATGAGTCACAATCTATCGGTTACACGACGGGGTATAGGACTAGACTAGAAATGAAAGAAGAAAAATCTATAGTTCAGCTAATATTATGTCATTATGTAATAGAAGCAGTGGTGTGCGTGTTAGCTCACTGCCTCGAGTTAAAACGGATTATCAGGAATAAAAAGAATTTTGAATCATTAGTGAAGTATGATACTTTAAATGTAAATATAGTAATTGCGAATGATCGTATTCATCACTGACTATCATCATCTTGTATATTTATACAATATCACGTTAAACGTGGCTAGTGTACATTAATTTAAATTGATACCTGATGAAACAGCAGCACTAAATGCCGTACACGTTTTTGCGAGGACATGAATCTGTTAACGGTGTAAACTTATAAATATACGATCAAAAATGTAGGAAATGTTGACCATAAGTGCATTTCGTGCAGCAATTTTGCAATATGATTGAAAATGTAAGGTACCCAAACAAAAAACTTTGAATAACTGCCAACTAAAAAGCAAACAGTTATTATTATGAGTTAGCTGCTTTCTAAACGGCACAGCAAATGCTAATCTTGATGCCTATGGCAATTCTGCATGTTCAGTTATTTCACCTCCTTTCATTATTGAGTGTTAGAATTGTAACTTGGTAATGAACTATAAATCTGTCCGTTATTGTATTTTATTTAGAAATACATCGTCAGTTAAAAAGGCTGGATACAAGTCAAACAGTTTGGCAATATACTATGCTTAGATTAAAATAATTATAACTATTAACTCCTATTCAGTCCAAATTTTTTAGCATCGCACGCTAATAGCAAGACAGTGGATCATCTAGCATCTTTCTACTCTTACATTGAATACTTATTGCGTAATTTAATGCTACTGTAAGACTACTAGGTATCCGGCAAGCCTACAACATCAAGGGTAATCCAACCAAAATCTATTCAAGTGTTTCAGTAATCAATCGACTTTGACAGTCCACTTTTTAAAGTACTACCAAGCTCATAAAGTGTTTTATGTGCTACATCATAATGCGAACCAAGAGCTTCCTTAACTCTGTTATGCCATGCTTCAACTTTTGGCCTATTCTTACCAGCGTAAATACCAATGCCATCAGGTGCGATAAGTTCACCGATAGCCATCAAATCGGCAATTGAGATTTCGTCGCCAGCAATAAATTTGTTGTCTTTGAGAAAGCACTTTTCGAAAACATCTAACGTTTCCTTCAAAGCAGTGATGGCAGCATTTTGTTCCTCTTCACTGACCTCCACCTTGAGGAACATGGGAAGGAAGACCTTGGGATGTATTGAGATATTTAAGAATTCAGTAACATCGCCATTGCCCGTACACCAAGACAATAGGTACACATAATCGATATTATACAAAGTACATTATGTTGTACTAATAAATTCGGATCTATCCCTTTTAACTCACAAACTTCAGCATGACAAGCAGTCCACCCTTCCATCTCGTATTCATGTGATGCCACTGAAGGTATTCATTTATCTTTGCTCTTTTCTTTAAATCGCTTGGATACCAATGATCAGGTGTAGAAAATTTGTCAGTCAAGTAGATGAGAATAGCAACGCTAACAGGTAAACAAAAAAATGAAGCTTTTTTAATTTGGATAGCCATAAATAATGCAACTATTAACAGCATTTATCAAAACTATATATAGTTATCTTCGTAGATGCAATTCCCATACATGATCGACTGATTGCGGTAAGGTGATGTTTGTGAATTATGTAATTTTATACCGGGAGTAACTAATGAACTATACTGAAGCCTATTAAATATAGCATGATTGTGACAACGAATCCTTTGGTTAGTTTATTAATAAAGGGGTCTTTAAAAAGTGGCATATACATTGAGCAGAAAGTAAGGCTTTCAGGAATGTAGCTAAGTGGAAAAGAAATCTAAGATTTTCATCTCTACCGGTTATCTTAAAAATAGATATGAAGAATTATCTTTTGGATAACAGTTGTAGAAGAACCAACAATACTACAAGATCTAAGATTATGTGTTATTAGTGCCGGTAGTGGCAAGTCCTTAAACGCCCTATAGCTTTATTACCTTTCAAATAATTTAAGATCTCCATGAGCAATGGCTGGTACAGTTTGAGTTGGATTAATAGCCTTATACTCGTCTGTACGATGTTCAGCTGCAAATATTTAAATCAAGGTCAAAATTTTTGTTTAGTAATTGATTATTAACCTTTAAGTAAAAAAATGTAATAAATCACACTTTAACACAGGTTATTAATCTATGCTTCTACAGTAAGTGTACAGTATATCGTGTATGGTTAATATCAAATCGTGTGATCAGGATGTCGATATTCTACTACAATAAAACTGTTCTTCAAATTTCAATGTAATTCTATAAACTGAAATGATACTCGACCGACGATGGGTTAGTGTACTCGTATGCTAGATGACGGTGGAGTATAATCGTGCATGACGAAACCGCCATAGTCATCAGTCCTTTAGATTAGAATTTCGATCTGAAAGCTTACCATTGGATCCGTTCATCGCACCATAACAACAGTAAACGATAAAAGAGAGCAAGATAATCTACTACAGACTGCAGACATACTCCTATTTTAATTCACTGTAGTACAACATCACGGTAATTTATCATTCTTATTATTATTATCAATTACATTATCCACGTAACGTGTAAGCAGTAGATCAACTGTTACTACAGTCTTGGTTAGCAAGAAGCAGCAGCTGCCTAGAACCGCTAGGGCGAACAGATTTTTATCTAGCTATACAGTACTATAATATTGCATTATGAGCTGCCAAAGAATATTACCGATCGGGAAGTTGTTGCCACAACTTAAATGCATTAGATTATGAACTACATCGCTATAATTTACTGCATCAGTAAATTCTAAATCAGGGATCTTGAGTCTAATCACTACTGTGTATATTTTACAGGAACAACACAGACGCCAAATACGCGTCCTCGTCTACTGTATATTGTCAATAAGGAGATTGACAACATTTTCCCAGCAAATTCTGTACTGCTCACACTATCATAACTATGATCAATTTTATTGTAATGCAACTAGCACAATTGTCATATCATGTCATTACAGCATGGGGTCTACAAGGTCCAGTCAGTCGTTCACCCTACTGTACTATTGTATTTACTGTCAAAAGACATTGACAATTATTTATTTATTTATCAAGAGATAAAGCAAATCTACGCGTGTTATTACCGGTTAGTAAGTTGATAATTTTAGCTTCATAGGGAATGTTGGTAGCATCCAGGAACATTTGCACAGACCTGCAGGGTTCCGAAACAGGATCAACATAAAAGAGAACTTTATCCATTGTTTTCCGGTTTGTTGGTGTCTAAAAAATGATTGCAAACATTCATGATGTCATGATTAGAGTGTTTTCAGAATCATTCAGGCTCGCATCTCTGTCTCACTATGTCGACTTGATATCAATGAAATGGTAAGTGAATTACTAAGATAAGTGTAGAATACGTCATTACGGCTATACTATTTCAATGCAGCAAATGAGTAAATCCTAAATAAAAGAGTCTTTTAGTAAGCTTACTAGGAGGAGTGTATCAAAGTCCCTCGAGCTAACGTTAACGACTAAGAGTGGAAACACAACGCTTACTACTCAAAAGGTCACTTTATAACAATTTTAGCTACTTATTACCGTCAGATCGATTGAGATAATTGATATAAATGTTAACTAGGTATGGGCTGTCATCAGCCATCAGCTTACCTTTATCAATTCTCCAAGGAAAGATCGCTTAGAATTTTCGCAAATTCTCAACTGCAGCTGGGCGTTGGTTTGATGCAACTTAAGTACTGTACAGTACAGAAGTCATGACCGTACAGTACATGTGGCACGTGACGTACTGTACTGTACACTGTACTGTACTGTACAGTACAGCATGTTTACCTTCGTTTTAGAATTTCGATGAAAAAAATCGACTTCCTTCATTGCAATTAAAATGACTTAATATTATATGTGCTGGTAGATGAAGGTTCATGCTAGTATAAAATCAATACAGTTTTGATATTGATAATAGCATTTAAATAGAATTCTTATATTTTAAAGCGAACGTAAACATGCTGTACAATACAATTCTACTGTATGAAAAATGAAAAATACTGTACAGTTCTGTACTGTACTGTTGTAGATTATAGATTACGTAATATTACACTGGCCATTTTATACCATTTTGTAATATTACACCAGCCATTTCGCAGCACGATGAAAAATAATAATATGCTAATAGCAGGACTAAAAGGCCAATTGGATATGCATAATATCTCAAACTTTATTCTTGTTCTTAATGACGTACACTTTATTAAGATTGCACATCACATCATGACATATTACTCCAAAACCACTTTGTAATAGCAGGACTAAAATGCCAATGGGATATGCATAATATCTTAAACTTTAATCTTTGTTCTTAATGACGTACACTTTATTAAGATTGCACATCACATCATGGCTTATTACTCCAAAACTACTTTGTAATAGCAGGACTAAAAGGCCAATGGGATATGCATAATATCTCAAACTTTATTCTTGTTCTTAATGACGTACACTTTATTAAGATTGCACATCACATCATGACTTATTACTCCAAAACCACTTTGTAATAGCAGGACTAAAAGGCCAATGGGATATGCATAATATCTCAAACTTTATTCTTGTTCTTAATTACGTACACTTTATTAGGATTGCACATCACATCACTACTTGTTACTCCAAAGCCACTTTGTATATACAACAGTTTTAGTATCGGCATCATGTGTAAAAAAAATACAGGATATATGTTTATATACCGTATATATTACTGTTAATGACAGCTTTGCCAACTCTAGAGCATTCTATGTGGGAAACATGAATCGTGTCCAATTCGAGGCTGTAAAGTCCAGTTCCATAGCACGTACAATACAAGGCAGCAAGCTACGATATGACTGTCGTGTACAGCGCCAGCCATGTTACAATCAATAGTCGCAGTTACTGCAAAGAAGAAACGTATTATAAAAGTCATAACATTGGCGACACTGAGTTCAAATTGATTCAATGCAGGCTGTGAAGCATCAGAAACGACTAAAAAGAAAGAGAGCGACGGGAAATGGTCGTTCACTTAACCAAAATGCGAACACCGATCATTTTACGGATCCTTCCAACTGTATTACATGCCTACAACGGTATACTATCCTGTCCGTAATGGACATGCAAATGGGCTGCCTGGTAGCTGTCAATGCTAGGTTGGTTTTATGTTGCATGGTAGACAGTTTCATTGGTAGCGTAGAATAGAATGACTGGGAAAATGATCAGCCTCCATAGTATTTTAGACTAAATGTGCAACTTTATCATTCTAAGTCAACATAAACTGAATTCTTAGCATACAGTAGGCAGTATTCTGTAAGCTCTATATTAAAATCCGCAGGAATTTTCGTACTGTATATACTTGTACTTTTTACCTTACCATTATTTAAGAAGAGATTATTCATCGAATGATGTAATATTACAATTATTATTAGTAAAAGGTACAGTACAGTCGGTCCGCGCAAAGTATAACAAGCGAGGGATTGACTAGTGTGGTGGTGTATTCAAATTTGGCATGTTAAGCTAACTCTGTGTGCATTCTATTAGTGACTAGTCAAGATATACAGTAGGTAGATTTTATTATGAACAGGGTGTCGCCAAGACAAAGAGTCACAAAAAAGAGAGTGTGCAGACTGCAGTTCGGTTCTAAAGAGTTGCAAGAAGTGCACACAAGCCAAGTAAAATACAACATCTCTTTTTTATTATATCATTATTGAGGTAATAAAATTGCGAGTGAGGCTTGTTGCAAGAAGTTATTACAAGCCAAGTGAAATGCAACATCTCTTTTTTATTATACCATTATTGAGGTGTAAAATTGCGAGTGAGGCTTGTTGCAAGAAGTTATTATAAGCTAAGTAAAATGCAACATCTCTTTTTTATTATACCATTATTGAGGTAATAAAATTGAGAGTGAGGCTTGTTGCAAGAAGTTATCACAAGCCAAGTGAAATGCAACATCTCTTTTTTATTATACCATTATTGAGGTGTAAAATTGCGAGTGAGGCTTGTTGCAAGAAGTTATTACAAGCTAAGTAAAATACAACATCTCTTTTTTATTATATCATTATTGAGGTAATAAAATTGAGAGTGAGGCTTGTTGCAAGAAGTTATTACAAGCCAAGTGAAATGCAACATCTCTTTTTTATTATATTATTATTGAGGTAATAAAATTGAGAGTGAGGCTTGTTGCAAGAAGTTATTACAAGCCAAGTGAAATGCAACATCTCTTTTTTGTTATACCATTATTGAGGTGTAAAATTGCGAGTGAGGCTTGTTGCAAGAAGTTATTACAAGCCAAGTGAAATGCAACATCTCTTTTTTATTATACCATTATTGAGGTGTAAAATTGAGAGTGAGGCTTGTTGCAAGAAGTTATTACAAGCTAAGTAAAATGCAACATCTCTTTTTTATTATATCATTATTGAGGTAATACAATTGCGAGTGAGGCTTGTTGCAAGAAGTTATTACAATTCATTAAGTTAATTTAACGTCAGTTTAATTACTCGTTATAAAATATGAAATACTGTAAGGACGCGTATACAGCATATGTTCTACTATACAGTATGTATATCGGTATATACAGTACAGTATACTGTACTGTATGTTCTATATCGCATAGGTACAGTACACTATGTTATATACTTTTCTACATACTGTACTGCACATACAGTACATTGCGTAATATTCAACGGGCAATGTACTGTTGTATACTGTATGCTCGTATATACAACACGGTGATGGCCGACTAAATGAGAGCATACTGTATTCACTGTTTTGTAGTCCATAGACTCCATGAATCCATGGTAGTGGGAGCGCTTTTCGCATCCGGAACGGCAGACCGACATCGAAGAAAAAATGCCTTTCTAAATAAACCTAGAATCCTGGATACACCTGTCGATGGTTCGGTTCGGGTCTAGTACGGACCGAGTTCGCTGAATCAAGTCTACAGTGTAAAACTGTAATTCCGAAATGATGTCTGCTAATACTGCACAAGCGCACTACAACACAGTCGGTAAATTACCTACTCGAGTACAGTACGTTTTGTACAGACACCGTACACAGTACTGTAAAGTACAGTATGGACTATGAGTTACAGTCCTCAGCTATAGTCCTCAGCTACAGTCCTAAGCTACAGTACTTAACTACTTCTTTTACTATGGTACAGTACTGTACAGTACAGTACAATACTGTGTACTGTACAGCGGTCCATTCCGGCTTACTGTACAGTGTACACCGCCTCAATTTGCATATTGACACGCCTGGAAGTGACGTGTGCAGTACAAGTGACAGTTCAGCTGACCAAGTCCACAACAAAAAGGAAGCTAAAGGCTAAAGCCAAGTCCGCTAGCTGTAGTGATTGCTGGAAAACAAACTCCAACGTTGAAATTGAATGATCTATTGGCGATTAGAATTATCGGTAAGTCGAGTACTTTTAATACTGCATCTCTATAGTATTGAAGTTGATTATTAAGACACAGAATACCCTGCAATGACAAATGATGATCAAGAGCGGCACGATCCGATCCGGTGCCGACTCGTTTCAAGGTAGATTGATGTGCTGTTTATTACCAAGCACATGTCTGCTACAAGCCTTGCATGGGTCTACAACAGTAGGCAACATCGTCAATTATTTTAGCTTACAATTAGAAATCAACAGCGTAGCTTGAAATGAAGTAGAGAGCAATGAGCATCTACTGCAGCCTGAGCGACAATTTCAGTCAATGAATAGATGGTAGACTATGGCTAGAAATGCTTATAGTTGTAGTACAGTGGATCACTGACAGTAAGCACCAATTCAAAACTTGCAAAACTGCACTTCTTCGCTTCACTTAACAATAACAAAGAGACAAAATATTACATTAACACAGCTAATTACTACTATACTCGATGCAGTGTTAGAAGAAGATTTTAATTGTAAGCACATTATATCAACTCAAATGTAGAGGTTAGAGCTTTTTCTTGGATAACAATCTACCAGTAAACTACCTGCCTTTAATCATGGATAATCCAACCTTGGACGTCAACATGATCGAGGAACAACATTCACAGGATAACTTTGCTGATGAACTTGTTTGGGCTACTTTCTTGCCTGTTGGTCAAGGATTCTCTAAATGTGGTAACTTTTTATATAGCTATTGAAAAGGCAATAATTTTGATAGTAATAAGGATACTCTACTGCATATTATCTGGACGATAATTGTCGCATACTGTAAACACTGTTTGTAATCCGTATTTCTACTATATATAAACATTGCTATCAATTAAAATGTAAATAACAATAGTAATCAGCATCGACAGTGTATTTTACTATTTTATTACCTGATATTCTCATATAACCACTATTTACAGCTTAACTTAGCACAAATGATTCTGTATATTGTATGCTAATACTGTATAAAGATGTTCATTGGCAGCGCATTCATGATGAAGAAGCTTGTGTCTTAATCATGAAACTTAAAATTCTAAAAATAGAAACTTCAAAGCAAGGTTAACTACAAATCAACTAATAAACATTTTTCCATCAATTAGATTTAATAGAAGATACCAACACCTTTGGTAGGAGTGGATGCGATTTTTGTTTTAGTAGTGATGATGATAAGAATCATCATTACCGTGCGTTTAGCAAGTGTCACTTCAACGTATCCAGGGTAACCTTGAATTACTTTTGTTGTAATCCATCAATTGATGATATACGTGAAAACGCTTAAACAATGCATTATACATATGTATAAATAGATTCACTTACTATCTACCATCTTATTGAATTAGGAAAGGAAAGGCTCAAGTACAGGATATAACACTTTTATACAAGACATGAGGTACTATTCATACTTACTTTTCTTAGATTTTAAAAATTGATTTCCCACTTCCCTGCACGCATATTAATATATTAATGATATTCTGCATAAACCATTGCTTCACAAATAATTCTTGATTTTAAAATTTAGCACTAATGGTACGTTTCTAAATGGAGAAAAGATAGGTTAGAAATCAATATTTTTGATATAATTTATCAATGGACTTGCAATTCAAGTATTTTACTCAGTTTGTACATTAATTGAACCCTAAAGGCTGGCCTTGCTACACTTTCATTTACATTTTAATACGATTCAATAACACAACTACTATAAAAGAAACAGCTAATCTCAAGTGTTGATACTTTGTGATAGGAAAGAATCAAAAGCGTGCCATTATGAACAACGATGTAATTTCTCTTGCTGTTCCAAACAACAAAGGTAATTGATGTCATAGTTAATCAGGATACGTGTTGCTACTGTTGCTACTGTTATCAGTTCACACCTCTTTAACGGTATATATTAGGCAATATTTAATTTTTATCTAATAACGATAAATTTTTTTACGATATTAATTAAGTTTGCAATAATTTTGCTATAATGGTATTTCTTCTTTATTCACATGTTGTAGCTTACGTATTCTATGATATCGCTGTTGCATCTGCTAGTAAGCAGTTTTATCCAAAGGTTTGCATAATTTTTAAATTAAATTGCAATAGGCATTTCAGTTGGTATTCTATGATCTCATGTCATCTCTAAATTTCATACTGTAGGAGTTGACTAAACATTACGATATATCAAGAGAGCTAGGGAGGTAATTGTTTCTATGATTTAGTTTGCTGCTAAAATATGTACATGATAATCAATTTCAAAAGTGCTTTTTAGACCATTTAAAATAATTTCTTTATAGTGGTGCCTGTGGAGTAGTCAAATTAGCTTTCGATAAGAAGTCATGTCAAAAATATGCTGTGAAGATTATTAAGAAAAAGAATTTGTCTTTCACCGGTGGGGTAAGCATTTTACTGACAGTAATGAAATCAGAGCTGATATTCATGGTCATAAGATGTTATTGATGGGACTACATACTGTACTTATATTAACTAAATCTATCAACATTTAGGCTCTAACTTCAACTTCACGACTGATGCAGGAAGTAAAAATATTAAAGAGCTTACACCATGTAAGTCTTATAACTGCTTTCCTGTGACTATTGATAAGTATGATATTGAACGTAACTTTCTATTTCAGCCTTGTATGACTACAGTTGAAGACGTTTTTGACTCGCCGGAAGCACTTTGTATTGTTCTAGAGTTGTACCAACCCTTCCCTCAATACTTTTAAACTTGTATTGCTAAAAGATGATTCTACATGTGTCAATCAAATATTCTTATACGATAATTTCTATGTACTTGTATACATTCTATATCCATATATGTGCGTATGTATATATTCATACGGGTATAGTATATTGATTACGATAATAGCTGTATTTATTTTGCAAAGAATATACTAAAGTAAGGATTTAAATGACAAGCGCACGTTGTTTTGCCCAAATACTGCATTTATTTTCACCGTTTTATAGAGCTGAAGGTGGAGAATTGTTCGATAGGGTTGTAAAATATGGCAAATATGCTGGGGCTCGTGAACAAGAATTTAAAGTTATATTCTATCAATTACTAGAGGCTGTCAAGGTAAATTTTTTATGATCTCTAATGACGTACCTATTACCTCGCCCGCTCATGATATCATTTATACTTGATGTTCAGTACCTACACAAAAACAATATCAGCCATAGAGACCTGAAGGTAGGAGTTATTACTTGAATTATAAAGGTACTTCACGATTGCTAGTTTTCGTGGCAATAAAGTAACGTAGTATATTCTTTCCTATGTTATACGATATTAGCTAGAAAATGTTCTTTTAAAGACCGATGAACCTTACACTTTGGTGAAATTGACTGATTTTGGGCTAGCAAGGATTGTCGGAGATAAATCTCTCATGACATCATACGTAGGTACTCCAACTTATTTGGCTCCGGAGGTCCTAGTAGGAAATCAAAGTTACAATAAAGCGGTCGATTTGTGGAGCTTAGGTGTTGTTTTATATGTATGGTGAGTAATAGACGGTATTATTTCTAAAGACACGGAACTACAAAAAGGTGATTTTAAAATGATACGACGTACCATAAAATTAGTTTGGCAGGCTATCAACCATTTACAGCTTCAGATAGTGAAGTAGAAGATGCTGACACAATTGAAATCTTAAAATCAAAAGTTTTATCTAGACGGTGGTATAGATCACCGGATGAATGGAAGGATGTTTCTGAAGAAGGTAGGAAAATAACGGCTTATTCATTCGTTGTATTTGAATGAAATTTTTTACATTGTTTGATTTGTTACTTTGCAGCCAAAGAGCTAGTTCGTGGATTGATGCAAGTTGAAGCTGCTGACAGGTTATCACTTGATGAAGCATTAGGACACCCTTGGCTAAAAGTAAGTTTCTAAAATCGTTAATCAATGCTTAAGAAGTTTACAACGTGTAGCATACAACTACTGTATACCGTGTGATGGTGTTCTGTACGCTCATATAAGAATTATAATAAACGCTATAATAATAATTCAAATTGTTATAATAAGGATGAGAATGCTTTGGAAATTGCCAAAAATTTAATGTATCCCGATAAATTTCCCAAGGTAACTTAAAACGTTACGGTACTGAGAAACATTATACTTTGCAAATCTCTCCCGTTATGGGATATACATTCATATTTGTGACTTAGTTTGATATGATTTGTGTTTATAGAAGCGATCTGCAGATGATCTAGAAAGTAATACTAATAAGAAGATGACTGCTGGATCACCTAATAAATAAGAAGTAAAACATATCTCTTAGTCGTATATTACAAATTATTCCCGATTCTTTGTATTTCAACCACTATTTGTACGATGTCAAATACGAAATCTAAGTTTCTTAACGTGTATCAAAGAGGTTTTAACTTAAATACATATTCGCAAACATTTTTAATATGAATTCGATGGTTGTACTTTCCTGTTCAAATTACAGCATTTCTTTTACTAAAATCATGTATGACAAAATAGGCTATTTACCTTACAATAGCGTACTGTTTAGAATACTTGTAATACTTTAGGAGTATTGCATATGTGTACATGAATAACAATTACAGCCTATAATTTAGGCTGTAGACTAAAAAAGTACTGCATATGATGATCGCAGCTCTCTACCGTATCAATAGACCTACATGGTACTTTGTATTGATGTATTGATAAATGAAAAGACTTTCGGATAAAAATTGATTTTGAGCTTGCAACTGTATGTAATTGTCATATGAACATCAAGATTAATTATATATGAGCCATTTTAACATGGCGAAGCAACTCAAAGCTTATACGCGTATATATAGAATCTTAGATCGGAGCTCTAGGGATAGCTTGTAACCCTACTATGTATGAAATTTATTAAACTTAAAATCATCCAACCGCTTGCTAAAGATACCTTAAGTTAGTCAAATCTCTAGATTGACGAAAGTACTTCACTTGGAATACAACGATCGGGTTCCTCTGCATATTCTTATAAATGCAATTAACTATATCATTCAACAATACGTATTTTTAACCAGAAACGATAATACTTGATGTTTTACTTAAGATGGACTTTCTTAAATTTATGATAAGGTTTTAATTTCCCAGAAGAGGTAGGATAGAACGAGCTTAGGAATCATATAACTGTCTATCTCGTTTACTGAATAAATTTCATGTCATATCGACTTCATTTATATGCGCAACTCGTAGCTGGAATACATCTATAACGTGTTACTATAATTAATTAATGATTTGTATAGACTTCAACACTTATCATTACATCGATTTCTGAACGCAGTATGATAAATGATTTAAAATATTATTACACTAAAAACGATTTAAAAATTTCCAATGTAATTTAAAAATTCTCAATTAGCAAATAAAAAATATGTGAAATTCATACACTGAAAAAATCTTGCGAATGCTATTGTTTAGTACTCGTTTAAATATTGAAATATCATCAGTTAGGATATTTATCGAGAATTTAGTAGACAACAGTGGAATGACCGATACTTACTGTTACTGTAAATATCTTTAAAAGTTAATTTGTGGAATTCCCTTAATGGTGATATCATCGATGTGTTGTATCATAGTTAACTATATTTTAACCGTGAAATGATCAGCCAGAGCTAGTATAAATACGGAACGTATTTTTTATGCAGTATACGCGTACGAGTAATTAATGAGAAAAAATAACTATTTATTAAGGTAGAATATTTTGAATCAAATAATATAATCGGTTGGTAAGCACTACAGTAGCAAAACTGCTTAAGAACAAAAGTATTATGGTGGTACTCTGCCTCAAAAGTAATATCGAGTCACCATAGAATTACGCTAGAGGAAATGCTTTTAAATGGTAATGAGAGAGAACATCTGTTGATTATACATGTAAGTCTACGTTAGTCTGTTACTATTTGTATTAAGTAATCTTGAAATTTTACCAATGGAAATTTATACTCTACACTTAGCATCATAGCTACGTTTCATCACTTGATTTACCATTTAAACTGTTCGAATTGTAAGACAGATTGCCCCTTGCAAGCTATTATTTTCGTAGACATGCCTAACTTCTCAAATAACTTTATTAAAAATTGCAATATCGAGAACAACTTTTACTTGTAAATATCATAAAATTACAAATATTTATAATAGGGCTTTACTTAATCTAAAGTGCTTCTAATTATTATTTAATAAAAACTGGTACTTACTAGCAGTAGATTTTACTACATTGACTAATTTTGGAATTTATATAATATCAATCATCTTGTTAATTAATGTAACGTTAGCAGCAAAAACAATTAAGGCTAATCGCTACACGATATTGTTACCTAATTAAGTATTTAACAGTCTGCAACCAACGCTAGTATTCTGCTTAATTTGATGAATTGCATAAAGGCTATCGAATTATGGGCGGACTATAGGCTACAGTAATTATTTCTTGAATATAAAATCAATCGCAATAAAATATTTTATGTAATTGTGTCCGTTTTATATAAACGAGTATATCTCATATATATATTTATATATTATAATATAAACTAGCAAGCAATATATTAATTTATTAATATTTCTAATTCTATATTAAATATAGTCCCAATATCGTTTAAAATATTTATTCATCACCTAATATTGTCTAACTAAAACACTTTATATCGTCTAATGTACAGTATAATAGTATAGTAGAGGCATTACTTTAAGTAAAGTTTAGAAAATCATCTAATCTATGCAAGCATTAGATTGTACACCTCATTTGGTGAGTGAGAGGCTACAATCTACCGTCGATTTTGATTTATTACAATACGTTCATCTACGTAAGCTGGGTCACTTTAAAGGTAATATCCATTTCTTCTTTCTACATCTAATCATAGAAAAATTCTACGCTCATTGAATGTCTGATAGTCATCAATCTAAATCACGAATATAATTATTCTCGATACTGAAGAATTTCGCTGATTAACTCTGTGTTCTAAATAAGCTAGTAGTTTAAGGATGAGCAGCATACTATACTATAGTACATTCTGTAAAAGCCCATTTAGAACTCATAAAATCTATACTGTATTTTATCATATTCAATAATCTGCAAGTCTATCATAGCGAAAGAAACTCTTTCAATGTACAGAAACAGTCCAGATACAGGCAGTGTTAAGAGGATACAAACATTTTCACTAATAAAGTATGTCGCTAGTTAATTTTGCCGCCTATAACAGAGCTAGCACAGGAATGATGTCTATATGCATAATATTACATTTATTATGCGCTATAAAGTCCGTTAAGGTTATGAAATTGATATTTTATGGTATTTTATATCTTTCATGTAGGAAAGCTATTTTAGCGATAAAGCATTGATTTATCTTTCATTTAAGAGCATACAAATATTATCATGGCCACAGGGATGCCACTAATTAATTGTTTCGTATAACTACTGCGTTAGAACTAGAATAGTGTGGCCGATGTTCTACTTAGACACTATAGAAGAAGTCTTTTCAGAAGTGATAAAAATCAAGAATTTTACTGAATTCCGCATATAGTATCTATCTTGAAGAAAAAGGGATTTTAGCATAGAACTTCAATATCGGTTTATCCAACATTAAAAAGTTTGCAGACTTATAATCTAGTTTCAACTTTAACTTTGTGGATAACTCATCTCATGGCAACAGTGAATATTGCACGAAACGTCGGCAGGTTTAATTAGCATAATACAGCAGCTCAACCATAGAGTTAATAAGTATACGACGAGAGCATTGTATAAAATTCTTATTTATATTAATTTATACTAAATTATTGACGACGACAATTATTACGAGAAGGAATAAAAGAAAGCAAACGGAAGCAAGGGTGTGCCTAGCAATTGTTAGGCGGTCTATCAAGACAATAACTTAGGTCATACTGACGCATAAAATAGGCTGGATTGACAGCAGCAATTCAACTTGTATGTATAACCTTTTACTTTATAGTTATTCTACATATAAAATAGAATCACTACATTCTTCTTCTTCCTTATACAATTCGGAAGAGATTGCAATCTGCTCCAGCTCTTATCGGTAAGTGAAAGATGAAATGCGATGATAGAGAAACTTTAATTTGTAAAGTAGAATTTCTAATTTCCGATTAACTAATGTATAGATTGACCGTGAATTTTTCCTTTTATATCACGGGTAAATCTCTTACTTTTTTAAAAGTTGAAACTCTTACCTTGTACCGTGTTACTTTTTATCCACTGGATAGACGACGATATTAATGACTTTGATAGAATTTGCTCCTTTCCGATTTTTTTTTAATATAACTCAAATTTTCCTATTCAATCTATTTCGTCACTTTGTTCGATAATTTCAACTTTTTAAATATTCTACATGTCATATTGCATACAGGACAGTATTTTTATCGAAGATAAGTATTCTATTTTTATTCTACCCAGCACCATATACCGCATCATTGATAATGACTGCTTTTGATATAGGCACTAAATCATTGACGAAGACTAATCTATCACGTCTTTACGGCCGCTTGTACTTTTTAATACTACATAAGCATTATCAATATTTCATAACATACTTTTTTTTCATGCAATGAGAAGAATGAGTGCAAATAGTCGTTTTTATCCAATCCATATTAGTAAGCTAGATCGAATATCGGCCCTATTCTTGTATAAAATATTCAACAAGTGCTATTGATAATGTGATAAAATGATGGGAATGAACAGTAGCGGATATGATGTGTGCTGCCCAAAATGAGACAGACCAGTGTTAGTCTAACATCAGATAGTGACAAGAATAAGATGAAATGGTGTGCTTTGAACATTATCATGACTCAAATTAGCTTTAAATTTAATATCTAAGTCCTCAGAAATTTTCTTTTATTTTATTAATCATCGTCTTTCTTATCTGTGCAAACATCAGCAGCCTACG